CACTGCCATTCAAAATGCTAATCTTAAATTTCATGCTATCCACTCCTCACTTGGAAGTCTACAAGGCAACACATGTTGCACATTTGTTCATCGGACAATCAAAGTGCAGTCTGAGGCTGCGGTCGAAAAGTCTTTTTTGCTTAGGACGGTTTCTAACTGAGTGAAGTGACCTGTAAGTATTGAAATGGCAGCCATGATAAGAGCTGGTCGAGTCCTCTAAAAGTAAAGTAAAGGAACCTAAATGCTTCCTTTCTTTTATGCTTTATCATAGGGTACACCTGACCATCCTTTACGAAAGGAAAGATAATGCCGTCCCACAATTCCTTATTGCAGCAACATTTAAAGCAATGCATCGTTCTCAAACTCAAGATAAAATCCATTGACGACATTTTGCAAATTCCTTGCAATACACTCACAATTTACTTGTTTCTTTTGGTTTGTTTTCTTTCTTTTATGTTTTGGGCTGTTGAAATATGCCATAAAGTGTTGTAAAATCATCAACCATGACAGATAAAGGATGTTGATCACTATGTAAATTACCATTGGCTATTAAGCCTTTACTCTCTTATGCCATGAAACTATATGCGAGCTATGTCACTAGTGTGAAATGATCAAAGTGAGGATAATGTTGAAATGTGTAGGGTAACGTTATATGTTCAGTTTGCATTAGTTATTTTTGGTGATTGTATTGCCAGCCTTCTGCAATATCATCGATTATTTGATGTCATTCACAGATGCTGAAACACTTTCCTTAATAAAGGCAATGATCAAGCTGATAAATATTGGGGGGCAGGAGGGTGAGTGTGAGCAAGCATTCTCAATGTGATAACCATTTACCTTTTTTGTTGACTGTGCCTTTTTGCAACTTTGGTAATAAATTACTATTTTTCAAGAACTCACAGGGCGCAGTGTCAAAGATGCACTTTTTGTCGGAACATTGTAGTTTCACCACGGCAGGTCACGTCAGTAACACCTGCTGCCGTCATAATTACGTAGCCATAATTAAGAGCAGTCAGATTCTCTCAGCCCCGCCGTTGCCTTTTCCTAAGTCCTTATAAATTCTCCTTGACATCTTTCCTTGACCTCATGATGTTTTCCATCGAGGTCCAGGAAAAGTGGTTTGGAAAGGACTTTTTTTTTTTTACTTTTCAACCGCAGCCTGAGTGTCAAGGAGGAAGGCTCCCCCTGGTTCAGGGGGTTTGTCTTTGTGCCTCAAGTAATGTGTGAACAATTGAGAAAAACTGTAAAATCTGCTAGGCCTAGACAATCACGTCAAGCATGTTTGATATGCAAAGTCACTCTCTACTATATTGTCAAACAATCACTGATTGATTGTGCCTCCACCTTGCTGCAGATCAGGGGAATGAGTGAGCTGCAGCCATGCATAAACGCACAGAAAGATGATTTTCCCTCATCTTTAGGTTGTTGAGAATTATTTTAGAACATTACAGCCCAAATTGTTATCATTAATTGCTAGAGCAAAGGTGGTCTGCATTGGTTATTTTATAGTGTAAAGTTAAGATCGCAGTGTTGAGACTCTGAGTGTGTTTGTTCCTCTCTGTGTCTAACTGCCCAGAGGCAGTAGCACATGTGTGTGCGTGTAAGCAGGCACGTGTGCTCTGGGAGCAGAGTGAGCACAGCAAGGCATCATCAAAAACACCAGAAAAGGAAAATGTAGAAGCAGAATTAATGAAAACTGTGTTACAAAACATACATCAATACAGTAAGAATGTCCTGTCTATAGCACGCAGCACAAGAGACACCAGCTTATTCCACAAAGTCAGGTTTTTGGTTAAAATAGCATGATCAGCAGAGGGCATGCCTAGGACACAGAGAGGGGGAGCACTGCAGACAAAAAGTTAGACATCAGTCAAGAAACAGTCATCAGTGATTATCCTTAATCAATATTAATACTCATTGTTGATCATTTTAATCAGTTTTATTATCTTTAATCAGTTACTTTAATCAATAAGTTACCATTCTTATATCATAATTTTTAATGATTTTACTAGTATTAATCATTAATGATTCTTAATCATTTTCTTTTTACCTAGATGTGCTTCGGTTTTTACTTATAAGTAGTGAACTGTAGTCATGGACACAGAAACAAGCTCACTGTGGTTAGATCCTTGAGTGGGAGGAATGACTGCAGGAAGAGGCTGCAGGTGGTTCGCCTTGTCCAACTGTCATCTACTGTAGATTATGACCATAGGAGAGGCTGCAGGTGTGCAAGATGTGCCGACACTGTGACAGTGCATGCTTTGTTCTGCTGTTATCTACTGTTGTGATTACATGAGGAACAGCTGATGTGTTAATCTGCTAATATTAAGACTACATGCTTAATTACTGATTAAGGGGTTTGATTGTGAGCTTTGGGTGAATTTGCTTATGACCTGTGTGAGCTTTGAGTGAACTTGCTGAAGGAATTCTTGTTTTGCAAAAAAGCGACAGAGGATGACCAAAAAACCATCAGATGCTCGATAAAAACACGACAGAGAGATAATAAGCAGAAAGCAGAAAGCAGCCAGCATAACATCAAGATTGCTGTAAGAAACCAAGCATTAATGAAAAATGCTACTTTACTTATGTTATTCTTATATTAATTGTTTAAAAAATATAATTGTGTGTCAAATTAAGCATGCGTAACGTTTAAAAAACACGGTGAGACTGAAGTTGAAATGTAAATGATGAACTTCTTATCCACTAGTATAAAGATGTAAAAAGTCAACAATACAGTAATAAATGACAGCTGGGGAACAGTGTTAATTGGTAAAAACACCACAACAACAGAGGAAAAGAAGTTCATCAGGAGGAAAGGAGGGGGTAAACCAGCCCAGAAGAGATATATATATAAGACTGTCTGCAGACCATAGGATGGACTTCATCCTCCGACCTGCAGGGATGTTGTATGGGTTTATGTGTCCTGTTTTGGAATAAACTCTTTTCTCTTGACCGTTTCCACAGAATTTTTTGATTGCAAATTTATTGACTATAATAGAAAGCTAATGGAGTATTTTTTGACAAAGTTTATAAAGCTGGTGAAGTTTTAACTGGCCCAGCCTGGTCGCAGCCTGGTCGCACGTCTGACCCAACAAGGCCAAAACAAAATATTCTTGCTAACCTGCTGTGGTATCGATATAGACTGTTTTCCTTTGTTAAATCATTTAGCTCTTGACTCTTGAAAGTTTGCTTGCATACATTTCTGTCAGTGTCACATTGTAAATTAGTGCAATTCAAATATCCAAATTGATTTTAAAGGCGACCTATCATGCTGCTTTTCCAGTCCTATTTTGTAGTTCTGTGACTCCTGTATGGCAGCTTTACATGATTTATAATTCAAAAAAAATCATTTTCTGTCTTATACGGTCTCTTTGGGAAAGCCTTCATTTCAGCCTCTGTCTGAAACAAGCTGTAGATGCTCCTGTCTCTTTAATGCTGCGTTCCAGACCGGTCGTAACTGGGAAAGTCCCAAGTTAAAATATACGACTTCCGACCTCAAAGCGTTTCAGGCGCATGTTGGTGCATGATGCCAAATGTATACAATAAACATGACAGATCATGACAAGCTAATGTTTCTTTGGCAAGTTGACGCACAGTTAAACCCTCAGCAGTGCACTTGGTGTTAATTAAAAGGATGGACATTTTATTAAAAACAAGTGATAAATATGCGTTAGGCCTACTTGTTACCCGTTAGTTTACGGTTTACCATTTACAATGCGTGCTTCTGTGGGAGCTGCCATTGTTGTGTGACATCATTCGTACATATTTTTGACGTCAGGTGGCGTTCCGTGGCACTTTTTCTAGTTGGAGGTCGGAAATTCCCAGTTGCCTGGAACGTAGCACAAAGCCTCCTCTCAGAACCCACTGTCTTCTGATTGGCCAAGACCTGAAGCATGTTACCACGGGCGAGTTCGACAAAATATAGCAAAACGTTTGGGGTTTTTTCAACGGAAACGGTGGTGCCTCGAACACCCCTGCATTTTCCTGCCTTTTTTACGTCTTTGCGTTTACAAATTTATCGCAGCTGATTGGGTAACACCTGCGACGCGCCCACCAAACGGTAGAAAACATAGGCTACCTCGAAGACCGTTGCGGACTGTTGCACAACGTTGCAAGGAAACATTCAACGTCGTTCAATCCGAAAACGTTGCAAATCGGTGCAAAACATTTTTAAATTGAACTCACCCCACGCTGTTGTTGTTGCTGAGCGGGCTCCGTGTAGCTCCGGATGTCATAGAACGGAGCCCTTGGTAGAAAAAGCAGTTCAAAACAGAGCGTTCAGAACAGGAGGAAATCTGAGGTTTTGGCTGACAGGGATTACTTATAAATACTTTAATCTCATTATTGAAGCTTTGACAATGTTTAACATGAACATCCAGCACTGTAACATTGTAGAAAAGTCATTAAATATGGAAAAGCATAATAGGTCTCCTTTAAATGTCTGCACTGCATTAATTATAAAAAAAATAATACAACTTTGACCACTGGCATGTATTACACGACTCAGTTAAATTTTATACAATATAGAAATGAATGGAAACAAATGGCACCCTGAAACAAAGCAACATGGTTTATAAAAGGCAAAGCTGTGATGAAAAGTACACTTAAACATGCAAAACCTGTGTGATCCTACATTTATGACTGAAACTATGCTTTCAGTTGCAGCAGGTTATCAGTTTTCTTTGAGCTATTAGTTGCTACTTGAGGCACTGCGATGATAAGAGGGAGGTTAGAAGTCAGTTCCTGGTGTAGACGGTACACAACCAGTGACTCTACATGGCACAGAGCCCTGCTGATAAACCCTTTCAAAGTAAAGTCACTGACTTTAAGATTTAAACTAGAGGCTGGAAAACGACAAATATTCTGTAAAGGTCATTTAGGGCCCTGAAGCAAACTTTGTTCGAGTGGCTCAGCAGGGGATAATAAAATGTCAACATGAAAAGTAAACACGATACCTGTTGCTTTACTCGTGAACTGTGTCGTTATTAATGTAGCCTACTGGATCATGACCACTCCCTCAGCAGCGTGGGAGGGCAGATGAAGAGGATTACTAGCACCTTACAGCTGCTTGTCTCAACATGAACTTTTAGATTTCCCGTGTGTTCTGAGACCCTGCGGACTGAATGGAAAAGATAAAAAGAAGAAGTACTAATACTAAACAGTGTTTAGTGTGAAGAAGGACTATAAACCTGAACATGGATTTAGAACATGGGGCCGTAGAGCTGGATTCCTCTTGTAACTCCCCCTGCGATGAAGCAGTTAATTGCTTAGACGTTCAGATCCAGGACCCAGAGATGGACCCCGGACTTGTTTTTGTTCCCAGTGGGAATCATCTGATGTCTGGTCTGCTGGGTCTGAATGTGGTGCTGCTGGGAGCGGCCCTGGTGGCCGGAGAGGCTTTCAACCCAGAGGGCCTGAAGCACCAGGAGCCCCATGTGTTCATGCTGCTGCTGATGGGGGTCAGTTTGGTTTGGATGCTGTGGTACCTGCTGTGGGCCAGGAAACAGCCTGGAATCTGCCCACATAAAGACCACCACGCTGGGGGGGTCACCACCACCTGTAAGTACATGAGTATCACCATAATGACGGGATATAAGAGATTTGTTTTGGATAGAGTAATGAAATTTTTCTTTTCTCTCCTGATCTGCAGTGGTCCTCATACTTTTCGCTGTATTCAGTCTGCTGCTGTATATCTGCAGAATTGGGTACTTGGTCAGTATAATGGAGTGTCAGCCGGCGGCTGAAGTGCTCTCTCCATTCATGGAGGCTCCTTTTCTCGCACTGCAGGTAAGAGGCCACAAACAATGGCAAAAACCAGAAAGAAGAATGATTTTAAGAAACATAATGGTAGAAAAAAAGTTACTTGAACCTTTTAATACCAAACCATAACCATAAGTAAGGTCAAGAGGTAGAAACAGACACAGGATCTCAGTTTTGCAGTGAAAATCAAAGGTGTGTAACATCTTGTTGTGGATGAAATATTAAAATCTAGATTTTTTAAGATCCTTTTTATTACTTAAAATTGGGATAAATTTGAAATGCATTTACTTTTTTTTTAATTACAAAATTCAGTTTTATTTTTAAATTATTTAACTGACACCATGTAACAAAGGAGTAAAATACCACACCTGACAATATGGAGTAGTATGTTTTTATGAAATGTTATGCTATGTATTTAAGCTCAATTATTGAAAACTAACAATAAAACACACATTTAGAAACAAATAGTGGAAAAACACTCAGATTGGTTTTAAAGCTGTCGTTACATGTATGTGGAAACCCAGTAACATATTTTTATCCTTAGCCAACTTCACGTTGAACCATCTCAGTTATAACATATCAACATCCCAAATGTAGAAGATTACAGAGTTCTAGTTAAAACTGATATCTTTACAGAACCTGAGTACAACACTTATTCATGAGGGGGGGGTTCATGACCTATATAATCACCCCTTAAACTAAACTCATCTGTGCAACAATATGATCTAAACTCATAGGTCCACTGACAAGCTTTCCCTGAGTTTTCTAAGTCTGCGTCTTATAGTTTTCATCCGTCAAAGGAATTGACTCACTTGACCTAATGTTCCTAAATCTAACAAGTTGTTCAATTCAATGCCTCAAATTCCTAAAACAATTATAAGGATTAAAGGTTCAGTGTGTAAGATTTAGTGGCATCTAGTGGTGAGGGTTGTGAATCGCAACCAACTGTTCAGTCTACCACTGCCCCCTACCCTTTGTAAGAGCGTAGGACAGCTACGGTGGCTGACACAGCACAAAAGGTTTGTCCGTTTTCAGCCACTGTAGAAACATGACGATGCAACATGGCGACGTCCAAGGAATGGCCTTATTCTAAGGTAATAAAAACATAATGGCTCATTATGTAAGGTCTTTACACACCACTGAAAACATTGTTATGGATCTTATATTGCATTTCTGTCGATAGATCCTCAGAAATGTTACACACTGGACCTTTAAGGGAACCTTAAATTATTAAAGCTATTAGTTAGTGTTAGTCCATATTAGTTATATTGTAAGGGCTGGTAGACAAGTTGTAATAAAGGCTTAAAGGATTTATCAGATGTAAGATCAATGTTTCTGTTTTTTACTGCATGCAAACCAAAAATTCAAAAAATTACCTTTGACTCAATATTTACATGTCTTCATTTCAATCTTTTTTTTTGTAGTACTAGAGGGTGCATTATGCACAAAAACATCCTAATAAATGAATATTTAAATTCTTACTGTTCTGTCCTAAATACTTAAGTAATACATTTTCTTACTGAATGACTGCTTATTTTTCTTTTCCAGGCTTATTTACTGTGGTCTCACTCCAAAGACTGCATTCATAAACACAAGTTAATCACCAGGTGCATCAGTCTATATAATTTACTGACTTTTTAGACGTATGTATTATACATTTTCTACTGGTTAACGGTCTAGTGGTGCTTTACATTCTTATTTGAATGTTTATTTTTGCATGCTGTTTCTGATGCAGGTCTGGCCTCATGGTGATCCTGGCAACCGACCTGCTGCTCTGGCTCAACGCTGTGACGGAGGATACCATCCACGAGGAGATCGAGTTAGAAAAACAAGACATGCTTGATGCCAGCAACACAAACTCAACTGAAGCAGACATCTCTGATTTAGCAGGTAGTAAATGAGGATGAACATCCCTGCCTTGAACCCTATATTTTCCTAAGTATATTCCTCCATGTCTGCCTCAGGATTTGCCAATACGACCTTCTGCCAGTGCAATGCGACTGCAGTCTGCCTCGGCTTCAGGAAAGGCTACGAAATCCTTCATCCCTTCAACATGGAGTTCTACCTGATGGCGGGCTGCATGATCTATGTGATGTGGAAGAACGTGGGCCGCAGGATGAGTTCAGATCACCACCACGTTACTCAGAAGCTGACCCTTAGTGTTGTCTACAAAGGGGGGGTCATATATGGCCTCGTGTTTGGCGCCCTGGTCCTCGGAGCAGGAGTGTCAGTCTTTGTTCTGTACCAGGTTTGGGTGAGCCGGCGGCAGCTTCGCCTCACCGCCTTCCTCATATTTTACGGCTACCATTTAGCCGTCATGCCCATCATGTCTCTCTGCTCCCTGGCTGGGATGGTGGTATACAGGCTGGAGAGGAGAGCCAACGAAGCGGGACACAACCCCACTCGTAGCCTGGATGTGAGCCTCCTGGTCGCAGCAGCTCTGGGCCAGCTCGCTCTGTCCTACTTCTCCATAGTGGCTGCCCTGGCCTTGGAGAGGCGCGGGACTCTGGGGGACCTCGACCTTTCCTACTCCCTCCTCAGCCTGCTGGAGCTCATCCTCCAGAACATCTTCATCATCGAGGGCCTTCACAGGCACCCGAAGCTCAAGAAGAAAGAGAAGCAGCTGAGCAGCATATTCAAGGTAAACACGCTGTACCTGCATGTCATGTGACACGTGTTTTGTAAACTTGAACAAGTCAGTCATTAAAAAGGTTTTGTTCAAATGACAAATTTCCCCACAGTTTAAGAAAAAGGTTGCCGAGGAGAGGAACGTGGATATTTCAATGCTGGACAAGTCAAATGCTGTTGATGAGAAAACATCCTGGACTAAAAGAGCGATACAAGAAATCTGTGCTTTCCTCGTCCTTTCTAACGTCATGGTAATGTGTGCTTATCAGCCGATTTAAAAGAAAAATTACATTACTTTGTTGCTTCTGCATTTATTAAATATATTTATGTTCCTTCTTCTTGCAGCTGTGGATCATCCCTGCGTTTGGAATCCACCCCCAGTTTGAAAACGGCATCGGGAAAGAGTTTTTTGGCTTCTCTGCTTGGTTTATTCTGGTAAACCTGGGTCAGCCGCTCAGCGTTTTTTACAGGATGCACTCCGTGGGCGCTTTAATAGAGCTGCTCATCTCTGCATGACGAGCAGTGGTGGTCCAACATGACAATGTGACCACATGACATATTTGGTTTAAAAACACAATCATTTATAAATTATTTTTAGTCCCAATTAAAGGAAATTTTAACAGCCAACAGTAATATTTGACAACAGTGTGCTGCCAGCGACATGCACAAAGACAGTGGTGTGAAAGAACTTTAGTGGACGACGGAAATTGGAATCCAAAAATTGTAAAATGTCAATATGTTCTGCAGACATGGCAGCCGCCCTTCAACCAACCAGATTTTCTTCAGTTGAGCTGGAAAAAATACAACAACTCCATGAATAGCTTAAGGTGGTAAATTACAACTAGCAAATAAACATCCCATAAAATTAATAAAAATGCCTCAGTAATTTATGACCCTGACCCAGGGTCAGTGTAACAAAACACGTAATTCAAAGGGTACAAATTAGTTTTCTTTGGTGCTTTCAGCCACATCTCATGATCTTCATTAGCAAATGGATCTGGCTCTTATGTCTTCACGTGACCTAGAGGTCCTTAAGGGGGTCTCTTAAATAGTTGAAATTACCGCCTTAACTTTCTTCGATTCTTAAATTAGTAATACTTTCAATAGTATATTGTGAGAGCAGACTGATGAGCAACATTAATCTAAAAGGAAAATCAAAGGTTTCAGTTCTTTTACCTACCAAATGCAAGTTTTTGTTTCCCTTGGACTCAAACATCTGTCCTGCACAGAAACCTGACCCTCATCCAACACATTTGGGTGTGGCGTTCAGGCGTCCACATACTTTTGGGAAAACAGTGTGTTTCAGGAAAATGTATGAAATGAAATAACTTCCTCTGAGCTCAAACCGATCTCATCAGTTTTTAATTCTGGCAGGATATATAACATCATATTCACAAGAGGTTCCTTTGCGGTTTCTGTCTGGAAATGACAGAAAAGAAATCCCATGTTGAGTTTCCTTTCAGCACAATGTGAAAGGCTTCAGTACAGCAGAATCCTTTAGTCTAGAGTGAGCCGACAGTAGTAGTAGTTCATTTATGGCAAAGGGTTTAAAGAACAAACAGAAAACTGCTCAAAAAAGTCAAATACATCACTAAGTCATGTGCTCATGTCACTTAATCTCACTAATTGTCACCAATTAAATTTTTTTGGCAAAATGAATAAATTACTATTTAATAATTTAAATTGAATTACCATTTGGCATTGTTTTTACTGCAGCCGCTCATAATCCATGTTTTGACACATGTAGACATTTCCTCTTTTGTCTAAACCCTGAAAGCTGTCGGGAAGAATTCAGAACAAGATTTTCACTGCTTGTTTTTTCTTTAAATAAACACCAAAACAATGTGAAAATGTTCCTCTGGTCACAGTTCAGACGCGAGGAAGGGGAAACACCGCAGATCTTGTTTGTTGGTGAGGTTGTGAAGAGAACAGCTGCTCTAGATCCTCTGGATTTCAAAGAGCCGTATGTCCGTGTCGTACCAGATTGGAGGATCCACGTTGCTGCGGCAGCAAGAGAAGAAAAACAAGCCCTTGTTAAAATGAATCTTTGACGCCAAAAGCTCAAAACACATGTGACTTGTCAGACCAGTTTGAAATAAATCCATCAGTCTGCTTCGTTGGCTTTTATCTTGCAATCCAAAATGAACGGGTAACACACAGAGCTCATGTTCAGTTTGTTTACCGTAAGTAGATGACTCCCCACATGTAGGTGCGGAACCACATGGTCGTGCCGGCGTTGGCTTGGTACTTCCTGATGAGGATGGGATGAGGGACGGGCAGGAGGCCGACGAGCGTGCCGTGCTGAAGGAACTTAAGGATTTCTGACTCGTCTGTCAAACCCCTGAGGACGACAACAACACTGATCTCATCTTGATGCAACATATCTGATCGATTAAAGCTGCACTAATAAATATTTCTGTAGTAACAATGGATCAAATGACTGAGTGATCACTCATTGTGATGCTGCTGCAGAGAATGATATTTAACATCTCATTCAGCTCACTGCAGCTTTACTGTTTTGGTTTAGCTTTTTCATATTAAATAAACTATTTAATTTTTAAACTGAATATCTTTGGGTTTTTGACAGTGTGGACAAAACAAGACATGTGAACCGTGTACATGGACTATTGTCTGACAATTTATAGACAAAAAAATAATCCATTATATTAAAAAGATGAATCAATAATGAAAATAACTGCTGGTTGCAGCAAGAGCCACCATGAGTGAGCAGGCAAAGCAAACAAGCAGTGGTGGAATGTAACAAATGCAAATTCAAGGTACTTGTACTTTACTTGAGTATTTCCATTTTATGCTACTTTATACTTCTACTCTACCACATCTCAGATACAAATATTGTAGCTTTTACACCACTACATGTCTGACAGCTTTAATAACTAAATAACTAGTTACTTTTTAGATTACAAATTTTTCATACCTTTACTTCCCAGTAAAAAACATCCAAAAGTGGTGATTCTGACTTTGTTTTTCTGATAGTGTTTCCTTTAAGGGTTGTGAAAATTATCCTACTTCTTAATCTAAATAAAATATTGAAACCTAAACTATTAAAATATAAATTGCTGTAGATTACATGATTACATGTATATAAAGTAGTTAAATTAGCACAAACTTACAGCAGTCAAATGAAACATACACATTAATGCAGAAGTAATTTTAATATTGTTGCATGGATGTTGCACAAACTGCTCAAACACTCAACACTTCACATCTTCTGCACAAACTACTGGTCAGACAACAAAGTCTCTTCAGTCTCTGAAGTCTTCCTTCAGCTCTGCAGTAATAAGGGTTTTAGTTATAAATAACTAAAATGATCTATCTATCTAATATTAATTCAAAAACAGGGAACATTTACTGCACCATCAGTACTTAAATTATGTTAATAATACTTCATACTTCTTCAACCACTTTTATCACACAAAATGTTTATGCGTTATTTCTTACTTGTCGATGCAAATCTTCTCCACCTGAGGGACCAGCACTTGCAACAGCCGCATAATGGTCTGCAGAGGAAGTTTCACCTTCCATGACAACACCTGAGAAAAGTGGCACGATAAGAGGAGGACACATGAGCTACAAGTCATCACAGAAACAGCAAAACAAAACAAACAAAAAACACAGCGGAAAAGACTTGTACTGACCCATTCTGGATCAGCGCACCTCGCTGCTTCTGACTCTGTGTGGTCCGCCTGACAACAGAATAAAAACATGCGAGTGACTTTAAGTGCACAAAGAAAAAACAACCCCCCCCCCCTAAAAAAAATCATCGCTGCTGTGAAGCCTTGTGTACCTCGTGGTCTCTCTCTGAGTTGGACTCTGTGTCGCTGGCTCCAGCTACAGCACTGTTATCAGCAGTCGTCTGTGTAGAGTCTGAATGTGGTACAGCAATCAAGGTGCCGTCCTCGCCCACCTGGGTCTTCTCTGTTATCTTATCAATTCCTAAAGGGCGCAAGAACATCTTCTTTTAAATTGCAGGGGGGAAAAGAATGACTGGAATAACAATCAAAAACCTTGAAAGGTGGCTCTGAAAAGGCTGCATCTTCTCTCTGAGGTTCCTCTAAGATCTACAGAGTGATTTAGTGTCTTTTAAGCTCATTGCTTTGCTGTTTTGGTTCATTCTCACCACGTTCTGCTGCAACAGGCGGCTCTTTGCAGCAATCATTTATTGACTGAAGTCTGAAGTAAAATGACCGTCAGATGATCATCATTAAACTTTCAGTGATAGAGAAATCTAACTTCATACCTGGAGTGGCCTCTAAGCTGGCTTTGAGCGTGCCAGGCTCAGCAGGTACAGCAGGTCTGGTGCCCTCCATGAACTCTGCCTCTGTAGAGTTGGTCCTGGAAATCCCAGACTTTTTCTTCTTCTGCAGGGCCTTCTGAATAGACGCTTTGTCAGACGGCAGGTTGGCCAACTGGTGGAAAACGTTACGCTTTCGGATGATGGCGTACACAAGGTTGGAGTTACCTGTGAGGGAGATTAATTGTTGGTAGCGGCTGGAACCATAACGGATCTGTTGACTTGAGTTCACATATATGTTCTCACCATCAAACTGATACTGGATGATGTTGTTGAAGACCTCCAGAAGGAAGAAGACAAGGTGGTGGTTCTGGTGGAAGGAGAAGAGGAACCAGGGTGTGGAGAAGGCCTCCAGGAGGTGGAGCAACTTGTTGGCCGCCACCATGGACAGGCTCTTCAGATAAGGGGAAACTGTTAAAGCACAAAAAGTCAAAATGTCACAGCAGAAATGAAGGCACAGAATCCCAGGGAGGCCCTAAAATACTCTGCAGTTCTCCCATTTAGCCACAAGGGAGCGCCATTTCATCTGTGATACTCACTGTTCACTATAATTGTTAGCAGGCAGTCAAACAGAGGCTGGAGGCGCTGGTGTCCATTGGTGATGATTTTGTGGAAGATCTAAACATGAACAAGTACATTTAATATTTAGAGTTCTCTGCTGTTGTGTGTTCATTCACAGAATTTCAGAAAATACTACACAGGGAAAATACTGCCTGGAAATATCAAACATCCAAATTCCACTCATACTTTTTAAATCGGCTTTTTAATAAAGACTATAAAATATTTGGTCATCACAAACCTGAACAAAGACGGAAACATGGAAAGATAAGAAGCTCAAAATTTGAAAACATAGGGCACCCTCAAACCTTGGACCCTCAAAACTTTAAATGGGAAAGTTTTAGAAATTTCAGTCACATGTCCCAGTACTTCATTGAAATGTACTAGCAGGAAATTTGAAGCTATTAATACAGCAAAAATGAAAAGTAAGAAGATCAACAAAATTATTGTATTTCCATCAACATTTCTTGGCAATCCTCATAGATCTTTAAAGTAGGTATAAATAAAGTGATGAACTATAAATGTGGCTGGATCAAATCTGTCATAAATCTTTGAAATTGTTCAAATACTTTTATTGAGAGCTTTCTTGTGTTTCATCGCTGTTACGTCCCACCCTTTGGTGGCAACATGGGACGAACAACATCCCAACACTGACCCAAACTCAACACAAATAAGCACCTTTAAAACAACCAAATCAAGGGAATTTATTAACATAACTAGACAATAAATTAAGAACACCAAAAACACAACACAAAAATGCCCCAGCTGGGAGGCAGCAAAGCTAGCAGTCCCAAATCAAGAAGGGTCCCCTCCTGACACTTGCACAGCAGCTTTTAAAGCCCGCCTTCCAAGGCCAGGTGGACCTTATTCGGTAATTAGCTGGAGCACTCCCAGAACAGAACTGAAAGACAGAAAACATGGACACAGCACAGGGAAATACATACAGCCGTAACATCACCTACTCTCTTACCACAACGAGCAGGTCAGCGTGGGTTCCTGTGAAAACGGGAATGTCCATCGGGACCCGGAGAGTGTAGGGCTTGTTCAGACGAACACCGAAGTTTCTCTCTCCACTCAGCAGCAGGAGGATGAACACGCCGATGTGCATGAGGCCGACACGAGCTGCAGGTGCACACAAACAAAAGAACGAGAGGTTTTTAAAAGTGATCTGTGCAAGTTGACACTCATCTACAGTATACGCACACACAAACTGTATTATATTTAATAAATCAAGGCAGGGGGCGGCACGGTGGTGCAGTGGTTAGCACTGTCGCCTCACAGCAAGGTCGCGGGTTCAAACCCTGGTTGCCCCGGCCTTTCTGTGTAGGGTTTGCATGTTCTCCCCGGGTGCTCCGGATTCCTCCCACCGTCCAAAGACATGCGGACTAGGTTCATCAGTGACCCTAAAATTGTCCTCAGGTGTGAGTGTGAGTTGGACTTGCGACCTGTCCAGGGTGGACCCCGCCTTTCGTCTGATGTCAGCTGGGATAGGCTCCGGCCCCCCGCGACCCTGTACGCAGGACAAGCCGTTGACGATGGATGGATGGAAATCGAGGCAGAGACAGAGGATGACTCACATTGATCTGCTCTGGCATCGTTCAGGTTGAAGAGGATGGGAACCAGCATGTCCAACACGTCGCTGCTCTTCAGCACAAAGAACAGGAATTTCTAAAACACACAAACACAACTTCAACACTTCTGTTACATTTTGCATTCACATAAAGAACTACATGAGCATTTGTTTGAGTTTTCAGATTCCTAACGTACTTAATTTTGAAACAAAGCTGTGACTCAAATTACTCCGTATTTATAATACAGTATAATGCACTTTATTTACCATCTGCCATTTTATTTGAGTGTTTGAATTCTGACTGAGAAATATTCATGGTATAGAGTCCTATAATGGAACAAGAGAGTAGTCCATGCCGTCTACACTACTCTCTGCTAACAATCCCACAATGCTGCGCTCACAATCTCAATTTACTGCTCACTTTATATTAAAATACCGAGTGTCTTTTATAAAAAGGGAGTGGCGAGTGAGTGACTTCAGCCATGCTAGCAGCTCTGTGAGGCTCTACTTAGGTACAGCTGTGCATTTAGCTAAATGCTAACATCAGCATGCTCAAAATGACATAATATATGTGATATTTATTCAATATTTCTGTTGGCTTTTAACAAACCCCATTTCCCATAAGCCCACTGCAGGTTAAATGTAACGGATCACTTAAAGAGGCGAGTGAGTCGACTGAATGGTGTATCTAGTTTTTCATTCAACAGATAAAAAGGTGGAAACATTACAAGAGAGACAGCATTTGGATGAAACCTGTGCTGCTGCATGGGTACATTTTGTTGGGAGATGTAATTTTTTCCTGAAAAATAACAAAGAACTTTCTTAACTAGTAAAAGCTGTTGTAGTAGATTAGTAAATTGGTGGTGGACTGACCGACACTGCAATCCATAGAGCCACACCGCTAGCATGGTAAAATAAACTAACTGCAGTACTGTACTAACTGCAGCTTGCACTAGCTATATTAAAATAAAATATAAATTGAGCTCCACACCTTGTTGAAGTCACAGAATTTCCAGAAGAGGATCAGCAGCTCCTGGTGGAACTGGATCTTCTTGGTGGAACGAGGCAGATAAGTCTGGACCAGAGGATTGTTGAGCAGCCGTGACAGACCTTTCAGGATGAAGCCTAAGTCCTGATAAAGCAAAGAGAAAACACCCTTTAACATCCAACAGTGTCGTCCTTTTTAATGCTAAAAGGTTAGCTCCGTGTCACAGTACCTCTTCTCTGTGTATTCTGGAGAGATAATTCACAAAGAGGTTATCAGGTCCAGATGGCTGAAAAAAAAAAAAAAAAAAAAAGACACCACACGACGGCTTTAAATTATGCATCAGTGTTTAATTAAAAAGAACAAAGTCACTGATTGATCCATCTGCCTCTTACCTCCTGCTCCTCCTCTGCTGAGGTGGATGCAGAGGCGTCCAGGGCTTGGAGGGCGGCGCTGGCGGCCGACCCAGCCTCATGCTCCAGGGTGACGATAAGGATCTGGACGGCCTGCTCCACCAGCTGCTCCCGGTAGTCAGAGAACAGCAGGTGGTTGTACGGGATGCCGTACCCCACAGGGTCGTAGGCACACACCACGTTGAGCAGGGAGGTGAAGAGAGGCAGGGCATGTCTGGGTGAAAGACAGGTCGAGGTCAGTCAGCGCTGTAAATCTGTACTGAGGAGTCAAGCGCGGTGGGCTATCAGAGTTTTCCATGTTCAGAGTACCAGTGAAGGGCTCTTCAGAGGGGCCGTATGAGCAGCTCCACATGTAGGTTAACGCATAGCAGAGGGTGATGCATTTGCAATTTCCACTGGAGGCTTTTCACAATCCTATTTCTCACTTTTATTGTTTCAGGTTGATTTATTATTATTATTAAAATCCCTCTGAACATGTTTCTCTTACTGTCCAGATGCTGAAGCCTGAAAGGAAAACCTGCAGACAATACTCAGGGCTTTTTGGGTAATATTTATATTTACAGTTAAAAACTCTGAACGCCAGTCAAATACAAAACAATAAAGCACGGTCCTCTTTGTAGTAAAGATGCACAAACACAATGTCATCTTTCAGAGTCTCTGGTCTCTATAAAGACAGCTGCGGTAAAGATAATTTTTCATTTTTTAGTGGATTACAAATACAGATGACCAGCACTCCTGTGCACCTGTATGTGGTTGTGTTACCTGTTTTCTGTGGAGCAGAAGAAGGAGACCCAGGGATTGAGGTTTCTTTCAGATGACGGAGGAAGGTACATGGCTTCAGAGAAACAGGTGAGGAGCAACTTCAGCAGCTCGGTCCTGAACAAAGACATACACATGGGTGGATCAAGATTACAAAGAAGTTACTAGAAATCACACAGAGTTTATAGTATAAAACCAACTGATACTGAATTATTTGAATTGTGTCCAAGATACAAACTGAATGGGACATTTTACAGTTCGATTATGCAAATGTGTCAGTTCCAAACTACCTCAAAACATATTTAAACGTATCTTTGGTCTTTCTGGACGGACATTTCCTGTTACTTACATGTTAATTACAGGAATAATGTATTCCTGGAGTCATTATGTTGACACTATTAGAGTTTGTACTGTACTTTTACTGTAGAGTTATGGCCATTTAAATCCACCAAGTTGCAGTAGTGCTGTCAATGCAAATAAACATCAAACTATGCAGAGTTGAAATGTGTTCATGTCCTCTTAGTTAATGTTAAACAGGACACTCCTACAAATGTTTGGCAGCCAGATATATGAAAAAGTAATGCAATAACTATTTTTCCAGGCTCATCCAGTTATTTTGTTGAACTGGTAAAGCAGCAACATGATCTGGTCATCTGTTCTGTTTGATCGTGAGATAACTAGTCCACATTCTCTGATGCTGCAGTCTTTTACCTGTTGAGGTCATGGATGTAGTTTAGAGGAGGCGACTGTGCGAAGCCCACCCCGGCCTCCCAGATGTACTCACAGCTGTCTATGGATCGCATGTCCTCAGTTGTATCCTGCAGAGAAACAACTTAAAAAATCATCATGTAGATGACAAATGGTTGTTGTCGGTGGCAAGTGCATCAAAAACTAGTGTTTGTGGTTCACTCTCATTTGGACCGATGTGTAATTATGTTAACTAAATAATCATTTAAGTCATTTTAACAGAGTGTCTCAATTCACGCTCTTCCATTTTTACACTTGCTATTTTGAGTTCATATGTGCGTTCACACTGAGAAGTATGGCAAAACGCGGTGGACTACACTGCAGCGATTGTGATTGTAACAGTGGAAGTACGTTCATTTTATGTACTTTTAATTAAATTGAATTGAAGTGAAGTGAGCAAAGAAGCCGGCAGATATTTTGGAAAGCAACAATTGCATTCAAAAGAGAGCAATAATGGTTACTATTTGCCATTAAGAAGAAGAAGTCAAATCTTGCGTTCGTTATTTTCAGTCAGTGCACAGCAGTTTTTGATTTTAGACTACAATTAGGCGCTCAACCACCAGCACATCTGTTTGAGTCGTTCTATGAGCAAAAACGTCAAACATAGTCTAATTCAAGCCTTTCAAATTTGAGCATTTGCTGATTTTGTCTGATATACTGTAATTATAAATATAACATTTTTGGACATTTAAAGGAGTTATCAATGAACAAACTGTCATAAGTCACAGCCTTAGTGTAATTAAAGATGATGAAATGTGAAATTAGGCCTTTTCTATAGCATAAAAACCATTGAACGCCCTTTCTGTTTGTAGTCAAAATAGTTAATAAATTGACTTAAAAAGGAGAAAAACTGTCAAATAAAATGTTCCCACCATGCTCTAACTAACAAAACATACAAAAGAGTATTATAAGCTGAACTGTGTACTGAAAAAGTGATTATTCTGCATGTTATCAGCCATTAATGGCTTTATTTAATGTGATATTTAATATATTTAAAGTACTGCTCATACAGCGACTAGAGAGACACGTATTTATTCTGTAGAGCATTCTTCAGTTGCGTTAATATTTACCCACTGCTACATCTACAGCTAAAGGTCTAAAGAGAACAGTGCGACTATGTTCTCACCTACTTCTGCTGTGATTCAGCAAGTGGACTAAGCTGAGTACTCTGCTGACAATATCTGTATGCGACACCTCAGCACAGATAACTACAGTTTTATGAATAGATCTGACTAGGTGCTACTGTTGTTTTTTTCATAAGTAAACTGACAGCAAAGGGCAGCATGCCATGCCGTGCCACACTTAAGTTCACTGGAGTTCAAACAAACCCAGGAAGCAGCGATTTGGTGAATTCGGCCTGTGACTTCCCTGATTAGCAAAGTGTACTTGCAACAAGCCGGCAGATATTTTGGAAAAACTGTTTCATTTGAGTGATTTTAGGAGTTTGAAGAAATAAAAAGGTGTTATAAAACCGGCCCTAATCACATTTAAATTCAGTTGCAGTTAAATGCAGAGATGTTTTTTTGGTTTTTGTTCTTGGTTTCTTTACGAGTTTGAAGTGGGTGATGTCAGGCATTTTCGTAACCCAATCAAGAGTAAAATCAAAATGTGATGACAGTTGTGGTGTTGTTTGCTTACGCTGTCAAGCCATCAAATGTGACCAAACACCCACACAGTCTTGATGAAGCAGATTAGCTTCCGTCCTTCCATGAGGATGTTTCCCCCAAACTTTAACTTTGATTCCTGCTTAGTCATAAATGTTATCAAAGAGACATAATAAAGCGGATATTTCAGAGACAAATAACTCCCTTACTTGGCAAATAAAACCAACACTTGCTGCATGACTGTACCGCTGACGGTAAGACTATATGTTTTCTTGGGAAGCTCAAATCCAAGGCATTCATGATGCTCAGAAATGTCACCGCCCAATAATGTGTTTCTGTGTGTTCGTGCATGCTTCACAGGTCACAGCGGCAGGTGGGAACAAACGACCGCCGCAGGTCATTTTCCACCTTCTGCCGAACAATTTCACTCAGTCGCTCCACTGACTTTAACATTTCCTCGGGGGGGCTGTGAGGTGTGAGGAGCGGTCTGATCACGGAGGGGTTAGGACCTCTCCAGATGTTTGCTCAGCTCGGTTAAGAAGCGTCTTCTCAGCCCAGTTAACAAACACGGCCACTCCTGCCTCTCTCTTTCTCATGTGGAGTAACTCATTAACTTGAGCTACTGCCTGAGAAGGTTGTGTGAAGGAGATAACAGAGCTAACTGGTGCTGCCACGGGGCTAAAAAAACAGGGACTTTTCATGAGCAACAACGTATTGACACTGTTGTACCTTAAGGGCTAAAAACAAAGCAAACACCAAGTCGAAGCAGGCTCTGTTTTTCTTCTAACAGTATGTGCCAAGACTCTGAGGATGTCACTCAAAAAACTTTTTTGTGAGACAAAGATGAGAAGATTGATCAGATGATCTCACGTCAGGCTGCCTAGCTTAGCATAAAGATCGGAGGACAGGTGGGAACAGCTAGGCTTACTAACTTTTTCCAAAGTTAGAAAGTACTCCCACTAACATCTCTAAAACCATATAATTTACAGAATATCTCTTGTTTTGAACTTTTTCTTGACGAACGATAGCGTACCCACACACGCAGTTCCTCTTTATAGCATCTACAGATGAATTTGGTGGATGGTTTATGTGTTGCGTTCTCAAGAGCCACTAAAGCTGATGATACACGGGGCAATTTCTTTGAGCAATTTTGCTGGTGGCAAGTCCGACTATGTTTTGAACGGATACCGGCATGGTGGGGCGGAGTGAACACATTTACTCTGACAGTGAAATCAGAGGTGTTTGGGTTTATTTACAGTTGGCAGTCGCCCCCTCGGACAGACAAAGGTAAGACTGCGAGAATGTTATTCAGTTTCTAAACACTGGTCTAAAATCAGATGATACAGCCTTTGATCACATTGATGTAGAACTGCTAACTAAATCCAGCAGGAATGATCTGCTAGCTTATGATTTAAATAAGCTTAAATGCACGATGCTATAAAAGTAGAACATCAGCCAGGAAATGTATGTAGTACCAAGTTTGCAAGAGATCTGGAGTAGCCACTCTATCGACCGCATGTACACAGACTGGTTAGTCTTTAGAGGTCCCTGATTGGCCGCTCTGAATACGATCAAAACATGAGGATTTAAAGGAGATTTAGGAAAATAAAGTGGAGTCAGTTTGTTGTTAGAGCAGTTAATTACAACACAGATCACCTGTTAAAACTGGAATAAATTCCTTTGAGGGTTTTCAGTTTTGTAGATTATAACCTTTATTCTACTGGCATATGACTATATTTTAGGCACAAAAACCTGAAAACTTCACGGTGAGGTTAAAAAACAAACAAGCTACAACATTATTAGTGAGCTTTAAAAGGTGTTGCTACTTTTTTTCACTTTGAATAGAGTCCTCTTGCTAAACTAGGCTAATCACATCCAGGCAGCTCTGTATTTAATGCACAGACACGGGATTGATGTCGATCTTCTCGTCTCACTCTCGGAAAAAAAGCAAATAAGCAAATGTCAGAAAATGTTGACTAGTCCTTTAAGCAACAGCAGATGTGCTGCAGAAATGTCATTAATGAATAAGCCCAAAGCCATTTTTTGGTAAGTCTCCTTAATTAAATACTGAATATTGGCAGGTGTTTGTCTCCAGCTGCACTGTGGGATAATGAGGCCACAGCTGAATGCCTGAATCGCAGTGTAATGTAGAGGGGCAGTGGACTCACCGGGCCGTTCTTCTTGTGGCTCTGAGCAGTGAAATGTGGACAGAAGAGCAGGTCGGCGATGGCCAGCAGCAGGGATTCAGCCAGCGGCCGTGCTTCATCATCATCATCGGCATCTTTGTCTAAACCCTGGACGATAAAGAGACGAGTTATAAGACACGTCACGTTTGTGGTTTTGACACTACAGGCCCGAAATTGTAGATTTAAGCCAGAATTGTCCATTCTGGCTTAAAAATAGCAAACTCCATGAACTGATGAAGATCATGTGATATGATCAAAAGCTCCAGAGCAGCTACAAAAATGGATGATGATTTGTATGCTTTTTAATTAGTTGATAGGTAAAAAAAATATATAAATAAATAAGAGGAAGGAAACTTGATAAGTGAATCATAAAGCAGGCAAAAACAAAAGGAGGGAAACAGAAGGAAGGATAGAGCACATGCAACTGCAGCAGCCATCCATGCAACAAACACAACATGTTAACACCAGGTAAACACACAAAATCTTGTTGTTTCTGTGGACACCTGGAAGTCACCACAGCACCCAGCCAAGAAATAATCACACACATAAAACCACAAATTATCATTTTTACATTTCTATTTTTGTACCAATTAAACAATTCAGATTTAACATGTTGTTGTAATTTTTGAGGTTCTGGGAAAGTGATTTTGTTAGCCAGGCTAGCTGTTTGCCCCTTGATTTCAGCCTTGCTAAGTTAACTGAATTAGTGTATTTTCCAAAATGTCACACTATTTTTAAAAACATAATAAAATTCACTTTAACAGCGCCACAAAAATCAGTAACAGTATTTCACTGCAGAACAACCAACCAAATTCACACATCTACAAACAACCCATTAGCCTGTTCCAACTGCGACAGCTCTGCATTTTCCCTCAGTCCCACACTTTAATTAAGGGACATTCAATCCCTTCCTAATTCAACCACTGGCCGGGAGGAGGGAGGGATACAATATGGGCAGTGTTTGGACCTTGGGTCCCCTGCCGACCAGGTAACCAGAGAACCAGCAGCCTTCAAGAGGTGGAGGAGGGAGGAGGAGAGGGGGGTTAATTTTGGACAGTGACCTCAACTGCATCAACAGCAGCAGCAACAGTCTCATCTTGCAGTCCAGATCCTGAATCAGACAACAACATCGCTCCTAACCAGTGTAGATTATTATAACTGGGAGTCTCCAAGGGCCAAAGATCCTCTGATGTCTGGAGAGCTGAAAGGCTGCTGACAGATTCGACTCTACAAACTGTTTGATCAGTCTGATGCTTCCAACACAACACGTGGTACTGTAGCTTGTCTCAGGAAGCAGAGGTTTTATTCATCTGCCTCTAAGAAATCGTTTCTTGATTTCCTTTTTGTTTTAATCTCCACCAATAAATACAACCAAAGAAGCAAAATAAAGCTTGTTTTCCATGTCAGTTGACTTAAATCTTGTTTTTTAGGTTTTGCAAATATCTTCACTGATGATATTTCTGCCAGTTAAATGTTCTTGTACAACAGAAGTAATGTTTACGTTGTGTTACACCCTGCAAAACACTGCATGAATCCTAGAGGTGTAACAAAAGTGCCAGAAGTATTTCCTTCCTCATAAAACAGAATTGTTTACTAAGTCACATTCTTTTACTTCCCTGCCTTTCCCTACATTCCTGGGCCACCTACTGCCACCCACTATTGATCAGTGTAATAGCATATAGCATAAAACCGTCGGCAGGGAATCCACATCACCTGCGTGATATGCAAGTATAAGATTCAAACCTTAATGGAGCTACTCATAAAACATAGCTCCATTGTGCTACCAGTGGTCAAAAACTGCTCCTTTTGGTGATTAAGCAGTGAAAATGTCAGCTATACTTTGTGATTAGTGCTAATTAGTGAACGTTAGCAAGCTAATATGCTAAACATAGAAGTTGAACACGGTAAACATTATACCTGCTAAACATGTCAGCATGTTAGCATGGCTGTAGACTTGTTTGTCTAGCAAATAGCATAGTTACTCAAGATAATCCCCAGACTGGCTTTACTATTTCATAACTTGGGGAAAAGCTGGGTGAACTGTTCCTTTAAAAAGTAAAAAATATAGGATTTTCTCTTCTATTTTTATTATGTCAACATGTAATTATCTGCTGTTTTCACATTATACTGACACAGGCTTTGCCAGTTACTGTCAGGAAATTACGGCCTGTGAATCAAAACAACAATTTAGAATAATTATAACAGACTGGGGTAGAAATAAATTGAAGAGAAACAAAGCTTTCAGGTCTTACAATCAATACAACTAATATAACATGGGAACACACTCAGAGAGGCTGGTTGGTTTGTAATTAACCACGAGATTATTACTTCCTCCATGCATTCCTTTCCTATTACAAGCAACTCGCAGAACAGACGTGGATAACGGCGTCTGATACTCTATGACAAGCTTCAATGCGAAATCATTGATGAACAGAACATCCACTGCTCCTTCACTGTGCCGTAGCTTCACACTCTTCGTGTTCTCTGAGCCGAGGGAGGCAGACTGAGTGTCAAACAGGACATGACACAACAAACAAGTGCAAACGTTATATAAGACCTCTGCAGAGTTTCTGGGGAAAGACCTGGCCTCTCTCCACTACTTCCTGTGACTGACTGAGTCGTACCCCCGATCTGCCGGCTCCGGGCACGGTGGACCAGAAGAAGCCTCTCCAGTCGGCGTCCTCGAAGATGTACGGCAGGATGCGGGTGAGCAGGCGGGTGCAGTTCAGGACAATCTGGCGCTGTTTCTCTGAGGAGCAGCCGGAGTCTGCAGCCTGGACCAACCTCTCCACTGCCTGAGAAAACCACATGTAGAAGACTTTAACACGGTGGTGACGCTTTAAAGTCAGGTTTCTATACATTTATGCTTTTAATTCCAGAGTTTTTAGTCTTTAGTCAGGTCTTCAGCTGTTATTGTCCCATAGAAATCATCTCCTGTATCTCCAAAACCCGCAATTCAAGTCTAACTTTTTAGTTTCAGAGACAGCAGGAGATCATAAAGATTCCAACAATACCAAACATAACAGGCTGAATTTTGGGAAATCTGTTTAAAATGATGTGCAAGACATTTAAAATATGCAGCTGTTAGAAACATGGATTTGAATATTTTGCATCATTTAGCTTCAGAGTTGAAACATGCTCATTTCCTTTCTGTTTGAGTTAGATGAGAAGATAATATTACATTACAATCTGCCTTCCAGTATCTCTAAAGTATCACTAATTCACACTTTACATCTCGTTTGATTAATCTGAAACAAATGTGTAAAAACCACATGTTGTGGTTGCCTGTGTAACGGTAGCCAGCTAGGCTAGCCAGTGAGTAAACCTCACTCCCCGACACCTTAAGAGAAGAACTAGCGACAAACCGCAGCGCCCGTGGGTTTTACCCTCCTTGTTAGGGCGTCCGCTTCCCATACCCGAGGTCGCAAGTTCGACTCAGTAGAAACCTCGGGCAGGTAACTTCATGTTGACGACAAGACTAGTTTTATGCAAAAAAGTGAATGAGCATATTTCCCCAAATGGTCTAAAAGTATTCCCTAAAATACTCCGTCTGTGTATCGTTTGACATTTTAGAGTTAAGACTCAAAGTCAAATGTTAATCAAGCAAGAACTGCAAGACCTTTGGCCAAATATAAAAGTCTGAGTGTGGCAACATTTTGGACTAAATAAAGAACCAATTGATCAAACAATATGTAAAGATGGGGTGGTGATGGTGCAGTGGATAAGACGCATGCCTTTCTTGTGAGAAACCATGGTTCAATTCCCCACTGTGATACATCCACCAATGTGTACCTGAGAAAGTCACTTAAGCCCCTAGTTGCTCCAGAGGCGTGCGACCTCTGACATAAATAGCAATTGTAAGTTGCTTTGGATAGATGAGCAAATGTAAAGATGATTTAGTCTCTGATCTGTCACTTGATAGCGTTTGGTACTCGGTGCCACGGACACACTTTGCAGCGTATGTTAAATGCTCTGTATTTGTATAGCGCTTTTCTAGTCTTTTCGACCACAAAGCACTCAAAGCGCTTTTACACTACATCTGCACCATTCACACACATTCACCTACTGGTGGAACAGCCACCAGGGGCACTTGTGGGTTCAGTATCTTGCCCAAGGACACTTTGACATGCAGCCGGGCAACCCGCTCTACCTCCTGAGCCACAGTCAAGCATGTTTTAATGTTCAACATGTTTGTCTCTTCAGCTGAACATTCTTATTTTTAGCCAGACCTTCAAAAAACATCTGCTTTACTTAAATAACCTTTGACCTTTACAAACACCAAAGTGTGGGAACAACAAACAGCAGCATTCCTTTGACTCTGACTGTCTCCAGGATGGCAACACATTTGAACCCTCGCTGCCTGTAGCAACTACCATCTGAAAACATGACATCCTGTAGAGTAACCCCTCCTCAAAACTGCAGGTTACCTTGTAGCAGAGGGTTGCCAGGTTGGACGGAGACTCCTCTCTGACAGCTCTGATCTCTGCCGCCGGCACCAGAGCGAAAACATCCTGGACGGTGGTGGAGGAGTCGGACCAGAACTGATCCCAGAAGACATCGTCTGTGGCTTCTACAGGCTGCAGGAGAGGAGACACACCAACACACCACTCTGTATGTCTATATGTGTGTAACATGATCCCAGACAGGAGAAACATCCCTGAGCTCTGACCTCCGAATGAGGAGAGCAGTTGGATTTCTGCTCCCACTAGTGAATGTATTATTCATTACACAGCTGCTAAATAAAGTCAAATGAAAACAGAAAGTAAAATTACATTCTACATCCTCACAGCACACCTGTGTTATGTTATTTTAAAATTTTCTTAATTTACCTTAAAGTATGACACTCTATATTTTATCTAATTTCATTTTGTCCCATTATTTCTTTTGTTGTGTTTATGTTAGTGGGTTAATCCTCAGTGGTAAGTAAATTTACTCAACTACAATCTTGAACTACTTGTATTTTACTTGAGTATTTCCAATTCATGTTACTTCTCAACAACATTTCAGAGGGAAATGTTGTATTTTTACACTACATTTATCCGACAGCTGTAGTTACGATTTGAAATTAATAACATATCAAATACATTTATTACATTAAACCAGTGATTCTCAACCTTTTGGGCTTGTGATACGTTACATAAAATCAGTGTGTAGTTGAGGCCCCTTGTCAAATTTCCGAAAAGTTGTAGGCTCAAAGAAATCAAATAATCAGATTTGTGTATCAGAACATTGTTTATCCTTGTTTCCTCTCTCACAACCACTCACATTTTAATGGTGACCCTTTGGAGGGGCTCGAGCCCTAGGTTGGGAACCACTGGACTAAACTAGCTTACTAAAGTAGCGAAAAGTACTTCTGCCCTGAGCAGCTACAACAGTAAAACGCTGTTCTAACATCGATGCATCAGATTTAATAATCTCCTAATGTCAGTGATTTATCAGCCACAGGAAATATTTTACCACATGAGTACTTTTACTTTTGATACTACAGAACAATTAGCTGATGTTCTGTACATTTACCTAAGTAGGATTGTGAATGCAGGACTTTTACTTGAAGATGGTTATTAATAGATTCTGCAGCTTTCAGCTGTGTGTTTTTGTAGTTCTTTAGTGCTCCAGTAAACAGTTTGAATACTGTAAGTTCTGCAGCTAACTAGTATTATTATTATTGTTCAGTTCATCTTCTGATTATTTTCTTGATTAATTATTTGGTGTAAAAAGCATAAGAAAATAAAGATCTTTAAATTTTCTTTTAAATTCTGTCTCACCAACAGTCTATAATATATTCAGTTTACTTTAATGTAAGACAAGAAAAGCTTCACACATTTATGACACAACTGATCATTAACAATTAATCTGGCAGTTGTTTTCTCCACTAATTGACTTATGATTTGTCTAGCAAAAAGCAAAATCACAATATGATGTCTTTAAATGTCTGGTTTTGTCTAAAAACGAAAAAATATTCAAGTTTTCTTTGAAACAAAAGTATTTTTTAAAAGGACTCAACAGATTATTCGTCTGTGGAAAGACTCAAGACTCACTAATAATGGACTAATTGCTGCAGCTATAATCTGCAGACAAAACTTAAACAGGTTGGATAGCAGCGCCAACATTCAAATGAATGGTATCTAGTTAGTTCCACCTTAAATGCACCTGCCAGGGAAACACATCTCTGCTGCAAAACTAATTAAATTCAAAGCTGTCAAGTCACATGTTCAAGCTAGTTAAGGATCATTTCACTAAACAAATAAGAAACGGGAAAGGATTCAAATACTCAAAAGGCCAAAATGAGCGTTTGCAGTATCTTAAACAGCACAAATATTAAAAAATAATATCAATATTTCAGGAGATATGTTTGTGTTTTGTCTGGACGTCATCAATATCAACCGATTGATGAGTTTTCCCTGTTTTTTTCTCTCCAGTTTGTGTCATCAGGGCTTTAGTTCAGGCTACCATCTGGCACTCCAACTTTATCTCCACAGGCTGAAATTAAACCACAAACCGACGCGCTCAACGTGCGTTTCTGTATTTTTAGTGTTTAAACGTAAAAAAAACCGACCTGTGTTTTGGTTGTGAGCTGAATCACCGCTTTCCTGAAGTGAAGTTTGGTGTCTGCGTTTCCCATTTTGTGTCACAAACCACCTCCTGCCTGCGTGGATCCGTGTTAATACTGAGTCGCTGTAAAGGACGATGGTCTCCCTCATCCACCGGTGACAGCCGCTCTGCGCTCCTGCTGCGTTCAGGAACTGCTCGGAAACTCCAGCTACCAGTGCCAAAATCTGTATGCAGTAGTTGTGTTTGTGAAAATAACAATATGGTGATGTTTTGTGCTGCAGCGGTGAAACAAAGACGAGAAAAGTGTAGGCCAAGTGTAATGTTTATATGTTTTTGTTTTAATTTTAATATGTAGCCTATCAGCCAACACTTCAAACAACAACAACAAACAAAGCACATGATATTGACAGCAACCACCACAAGAAACGTAAAAACAAAACACCAAAAGAACATAAAAACACACATGCAGTTTGCCTTTCAACAGAAACATCGAAATAATGGTAATAATTATTAATGATTCTATTACAAATGGCTTTCCATGAGGAAAAATTAAATTAAAGCAATCCAGCTCCACAATTAAATACAATCAATTTGAACTGAGTCAATGAATGACAGATAATTTAATTAAATGTAATACCCCAAAGCAAAAGAAAGAGAGAAAAAAAAAAAAGAAACGTTAAAAAACAAACAAACATAGGGCCTAGAGAATAATGGAAAATTTTAACTTTAAATTATGTTAATAAAGTTACATACTATAAACAAAAACTGTCTTCATCATGTTTCTATCTTTCCTTAAGAGGTTTAATATTTCCGACGGCCCTTAAAGGTTGCATCAGCCAAGCAGGATCCAAACTTGAAGACTTCCGGGATCCTAATGTACATATTTACTTTCATTCACTTTGTTCATTGGATAAAACGGCCCTCGTGCACATATCCAACATTGATTCAGATTCATGTATGAAGAGTGAAACAGTCAGATCTTCATCCCATCCTCATCATCATCATCATCATCATCATCATATGTAGTTAATTTTCAGATTCTTCCAAATGAGGACAGTGGATGGAAACCATCATGATACTTCAGGTACAGTCAGGAGAAATAAGCTCTGATGTTCATAGAGCATCAATAACATCCAGTGAATTCATCAGACCCTTTACTTCCTGTACACTTCAGATTGATGTCATTGATTATCATTTTGTTTGGTTAAAATTTAAGTTCAAATGTATTATGTGAAATTAAATTGCACTGTGATCTTCAACTGTCATTGTTTTTGTTTCTGCATACTCTACCGTGCGCACTATTGAACGTAACTGTTATCGTCAGATGAATTGTTTGGACACGGAGCTTAATGTTGACTGTTTGTTTCACAGGGGACACGAACTCTGGTCTTCAAGTTGGGGTTCTGGCCCTCCATCCACCACCTTACTCAGTGTTTTCTGTTAAATACCGCATACCTACCTTCAAAAACTGACGCTACAGCGCTTCCCCCACTATGTTGAGCTATGACACTAAAGGGATCCAGTGAGTTTCAACCTGATGGGTCTTGATCGTGCGTCCATATGTGAGGAGTGAGGGAGTGAGAACGGTTGTAGTTGTGGCTGTGTTGTTTACATCACATAAATGTCAGCCCCGCATGTTTAATATTACTGTCTCTGAAGTGTAATGCTTTACGCTACTTTTGCATTTTGAGTTACTTTCACTGCTGTTTAATGGACGCATTGTTCTTATAGTAAGATGTAGTGATGTGCAGTTATTTCTGCGGATCGGGTGGGTATTTGTCATAACCTTCTGGTTAATAGCCGGGGATGAATCGTCTCCCCATTAAGAAAGATCCTGTGCGCATTTACGCACGAGGTACAGCAGCATAACGTCGTTAATAATTTGAATCTCCCGACACTCCGACAGGATCGGTCAGGATGAGCTGACTGCAGCCTCTCTGATCATGAAAGCAATTCCTTAAAGCACAAACACATAGCCTATCGAAGTATATTTACACATGATCCATCATTGGAGCTACCGTCTTGTTAAGAGGAGCCGAGCTCCCCTGTAGTTTGCAAAAAAAAAAGTATCTAAATCTGTTATTGCGTAACTTTTGTAAAGCGTTACTCCCAACACTGGTGCTTAGTGGCATAGCCTACTAAACGCAGTGTACTGAAAAGTAACAAAATAAATAATGCATTGACTCTCAACACGTTAGTCACTTTAATTGCTTTTGGTTTAAAAAATCTGAACCGTGCAACGTGCAGAACAATTGATAACTACAAAATCAAGTAACTACAATAACAGTACATCCCCCAGTGAAGTTTCCTCCTTATATAAAAGAAAAATGCAAATGTGAAGCAAAGACAATATTAAACACATAGCCTACTCATATAATGGCATAAAATGAACAGAGGACCCTGTAACAAGATAACAAAAATGGCTCAAGACTAAAATATATATATTTATATACATTTATATATGCTGCTTTTCCATTGATGCAGAGGAGAGGACTGTAACGTAATGTGTAACAGTGCACATGAACACCAGCTCTGACAGATGTAGCATTGATTAGACCAGTAGTATTGGATAGCCAGCTCCTTAACATAATGTTGGTTCTTGAATTATTAAAATTGACAAACTCTAACACACACACACACACACACACACACACACACAAAACAAAAAACATTTTAAGCATTCAAGCTCTTGGGGGCCCTCTAGTGGCCACGGGGACCCTAAATACATCCACCTGCTTTGAGTGGCTGGCCCCACAACTTCATCTGAGTTGCCATGGACCGCTCAGCAGTACAGCCATCATCCCTGCTTATCTACCAGTCTTTCATATAGTTACTAGTTAATGCTATTGTCTGACATCTTACATCTACATCTGATCAGACTAAACTACAGTGGCATGAATGGCTCAGCTATCCAAACACCTTCACTCACGCTCAATAACAGCTTGAGCTGGGCCAACAAAAACAGAGCAAGTTTTTATCAAAGGAACACGTTTTTCCACGATTTAACCTGGAGAGTTTCAGGATAATCCGAGCTGTTGAAGAGCTCCAGCTGTGAGTCATGTAAAAAAATCTAAGGGGAAAATCAATGGGACATCTGGCGCCCAAATATGCTCTTCCCATTTCCCAACTCTGTTACGTCAGTATTGTCACAGTGATACAATAAACAAACTGTCTCAGGCTTTCTTGGATGCACTCAAACAACTCTGTTAGTAACTGTTAAGACTGTAGGTATTAGATATAAAACATAATATTCACATACAATTAGAACATCAAATGCTTCATCTTCATTAGCCAAATTCAGATTTCCCACAGCACGGGGTCTGCTTTTCCTCTCAATCACAAACGTGTTTTCATTTCCAAATGCCAATGCCAAGTCCACAGTTTCAAACAATCCTACAAAAACATATTACAGAGACCTCGTGATATGCCGTCAAAGGCACACCCATTAAGGACTGAAACCATTTCTTCTTCATGTGGTCATGTAGTATCAGTTACACAACTGATGAATTGTGGTGCTGCTGGTGAGACTTTCTGAGGTGTCTCAGGGTGTGGAACAAACATACTGCAGGTTAAAGATGTCCAGACAGTCATTAACTGTATTGTTTTATTCTTCATCAGGATTCATTTTGATCCAGATTCTGTTAAATTCACCATATAAACAGCTGCATGTCCATCTGACACCACAGTTACAGTTATAGCTGGGAATTTAATAACGTGGATTAACAAGGCTTACTCATCCACTCACCTCGCAAACAGCTATTTCCTCACGCCAAATCAAGAGGGCCAGCCTGTCGACGAGCTCCTCAGCCCATCACCACTCCCCCTCCTCGCTGCACGCAGCAAACAAAACAGGACAAACCCTGAGGAGGTTCTCAAACACCTCTCTGCAAGCACCCTGCACGCTGTTTGGATCTCAACCTGTGCAGAGAGTCGACATGATAACGATGAAAAGCTTTGGTGTTTTGATCTGCGCTCTGGCAGCCCTGGCAGCACCTGAAGCAGTAAGGACATTTTTATCTTACTTGTGCTGAAATGTTGTATTTATTTTCATGAGAATTTCTCAGACGTTTTGTGCTTTTAGGGCTCACTGAGAGAAAGACGACGGCTGACACTTTCTGTTCTCTCTTCCTCCTCCTCTTCGTCCTCTTCGGAAAGTTCAGGTGAGAAACTCTGAAGGCTCTCTGACACAGTGCATTAACATCAGGCTGTAATGAGCATGACATCTGTCATTTCATGTGGTAAACAGGTGTGTTCCGCCTTAATGGAGGCACCTCTGTCACATCATTTACTGCTGGTACACACATGTTTTGTTTTTGTGCTGATGGTTTTAATGGGCACAACTGTGAAATAAGTAACAGGTTTAACTGCAAACCATATTGGATTTATCTTTATCACATTTTTAATCAAAATATGCTGCTGTTCCTTTAGGAAAACGTGGTGACTGCTACAATAGTGTTGGACTGTACAGAGGCAAAGTGTCTAAATCAGAGAGTGGACGAACATGTGAGGACTGGGATTTAGTCACCAGGAAGCTGCTCTTGTCTTCAAATGTCAATGCAGGAAGGCACAACTTCTGCAGGTAGGCTGCCATAACTCCAAATCTTTAAATACAGCCTGAAAATATTCAGACAGTTATGCTGTGGCTTTTTACTTCAATGGATTTGAAATGAAACAATAACTGTGTGGGCGGCTGTAGCTCAGGTAACATAGCGTGAAGTTTGTGGTGAATGTGGGGGAAACTTGCATGTCACTTTGGACAAAAAAGTGTCTCAGATGAATGTGATTAGATTCAACTTTATTGCCAGTGTATACTAGCTTACCAGTTCAACAAAATCAGTAAAAACAAAGATGCAAAGCAAAACATTTTAGCATCAGACAAGAAGAATCAGAATAAGCTTTACTGGCCAAGTGTGTGAACACAAGGAATTTGACTTGACATTACACGCAGAATAATTTACAGGAAGATGAGACAGCTGAGTTTGGCTGTTCTTCAGCCACTTATATTTCTCCTATACAGTTGTTTCTGTAAGTTATTGTGTTTCAGCCAATTATGGAATTTATGTTTGGTTTTTTTTATGAATTTACAGCATTTTATCACCCCTGTCTAAAACCTTTGCACAGTACTGCCTCTGAAAATGTGGTTTCATATATTTAGTATTTCTCCATAACATTATATTCATTAGTAAATGCCAAACAATGCAAGGCCTTTAAATCTACCCATCACTTTGTAAACTTTGATGGATTTGATGCGTTTTTCCCACAGAAACCTTGACGACAGACGGAGGGATTTCGTGCCTTTTTCCAAAAGAAATTATAGCTACAGTCTGCTAATGGGTTTTCCCCACAGAGACCTTCACAACAGACGGCGTCCGTGGTGCTATGTTCAGAAAAACCGGCGGCTGGTGTGGGAGTATTGTCGTATTCCACGTTGTAGATTTAATTCATGTAAGTTCATTCTCCTTTTACAGTCTTCCTTTAAAATCGAAACCAGAGTCCCCCCTAATCCACGTTAAAACGCTTCGCCTGTGCCACTTTTCATATTTTTTTCCCCTCGATTGTTTTGTACTTGTTGTCATCCCCCAGCTGCAGAGCTGACATGTGGCCAGCGCACCAGAAGAAAGCAGATGAAGATTGTGGGTGGAACAGTTGCCACTGTGGAATCCCACCCGTGGGTTGCTGCCATATTTTGGCGCAGCAAATCCAAGGAGAAGGTTTTCCGCTGCGGGGGGAGTCTGATCTCAGCCTGCTGGGTCCTCACAGCTGCCCACTGCTTCCCTGAAGGGTAGGAAGTGAGATCACTTACTGTAGACACAGCAGATGCGGAGGAAAAGCAGGTTGATTGGACTTTTCTTGTGACTTTGTGTTTCAGCTCCCGCACCCAACAGCACCGCTTCTCCGTCACCCTGGGGAAAAATGCTCTGAATGAGAGCGACCCAGCTGTGGAGCAAACATTCAGGGTGGAAGAAGTCATCATCCATGCAGGGTATGACAACAGTGAGGGGAACTTCAACAATGACATAGGTATGAACATGTCTTTAGGTGCTTCAGTACTGGGGATGTAATGTAGCCTAATCAAAGCAGTAATTCCTTAATAATTGTTTTGTTTTGCAGCCCTGCTGAAGCTGAGGGCCAAACACGGGAAGTGTGCAGAGGAGAGCAGCTCTGTGAAGACTGTCTGCCTGCCGCCGCCTCAGCAGAGCCTCCTGCCTGGTGTCACATGTGAGATCGCTGGATATGGAAAGGAGAAACACGGTGAGTAAAGTCCTCTCAATCCTTTTGTCTAAGCTGATATTTGGCAAAAAGTAGGTGGACACCCAACCATTACAACCACATGTGATTTATAACAGGCTTCATGTCATTATACCAAGTTGGAAGCACAATTTTGTCTAAAATATGTCTTCTTGTTTCCATGAAAAGGGAACTAAGGAACCCAAAGTACATTAAAGTACTGTATATGTGCAGGGGTGTTCATGTATGAAGGTGGACCGGCATGTCCAAATACTTTAGACAATATAAAGTAAATCCTGCAGTTGAAGTTTTACTAAAACAGATAAACAAATATCAAAAATATCACAAGTAGGAAAAAGGTGTATTCGCACTTTAATTGATTTGCTGATAAAGAGAGAAGGGAATAAATAAAATGAGTGAAAAGAAAAGAGAAGAAAGATGGAAACAAGACAGAAAAGCTAAAATTTATAAATTAAGAAAAGGAAGGACAGAATGAGAAAGGAAATTTAACATGACAGATAAAAGAAGGATGGGAGAAAAGAGGTACTGAAAGAAGGAAGGGTGAAAAGAAAGGGAGAAAGATGAGGGAAAACAGGAAGGAAAGGAAGAATAAAGCTCAAACGCGAAGCAATTAAAGGATGTTGGAACAAAGCTGTTTAAAACATGACATTTCATTAATCTTATCTTATGTGTTCTAAAGAAAATCTACCATCAAAGATCCACTTACAAGCTTCTCCGAGCTTTCAGCCTCACATCACCGTCTTCTTCAGCTCTATTTGCTGAACAAAGATCATGGCAGTCATTCACATCTGAAGCCAAATATGATTTCTCTCCCATATGACACCTGAGCCTGGTGAAGACCATGAGATGCGGATGAAAGCTCCAAAAAGATAGTATTTGGACCCTTTAAGCTTAAATTAATTATTTACATACAGTAGTTCCCAAAGGCCGAGAAGAACTTAATAATGAAAGTCAAATCTGAATCTACAGTTAACTGGAACAATCAGATTTTACAAACCATAACAAGCTGTACAGTATTTTTCTGGTTTTAACAGCTTTTCTTCTTTCAGGTTTGTGGTATAAGTCTCAGTACCTCAGAGAGGCTGAGGTGAACCTTCTGGCTGACGATGTGTGTCGACATGAGGACTATTATGGGAACATGATCACCGACAACATGTTTTGTGCAGGTCGTCCTGATTGGAGCCAGGATGCCTGTGAGGTATTCAGGACAAGTTCAAACTCGATCAGGATTTGCTTGCAGGGATCGGTTTGTTGATTTCATTTAATGTCTGCTCGGCTCTTTCCCACAGGGAGACTCGGGAGGGCCTCTGGTGTGCGAGGTCGACAACAGGCTCTTCCAGTTTGGAGTGATCAGCTGGGGCGATGGCTGCGCAAAGGAGTTTCGGCCCGGCGTTTACACCCGAGTGACCAATTACAATGGATGGATAGAAGAGAAGACAGGGCTGTCATCCGTCACCGATGGCTCCATGTTCCCTCAGAAGTGACCTGAGGACATGAACTGTTGGTGCTGCTCGTTACCATTTTCTATTTTTTTCTTAATAAAAAGTCACAAAACAACAATGAATGTATCCTACTAACACGTCGTTTTGTGTATCAGGCTGTATAGTCAGGCTGTTGATGTAGTTGATATTGTCAGTACGCTAACGTGATTCACAGGGATATGCTGATCAGCGTGTTAGCATGCTAAAAAGTGCTAATAAGCACTAAACAAAAAGGACGTAAAATACAGCAGAGCCTGATGCAAAAGTCATTATTTTTGCAGGCATTTGCTCAAAGTATTGGATAAATTAGACATTTTACTTCGAACCGAGAATGTCAACCTGCTGTGACCATTCTCATCTCAGGGCGTCCAATACCAACGCTTTCAGAAGAAGTGACAAAACGTAGTTATTTGACGCCAAAGGTACCCTTCAGCTTCGTCTCTATGAGACTCTCTGGGGCGTTTTGTACAGACCGGAAGTACTAGCTAGCTAGCTAGCTACGTTTGTGTTAAAGGTGTTGACAGAACCCCGAAGCCCCCTACCCTAACCACAACCATCAGAAATGTTAGTACCTAAACCAAAGTCACTGACTTTATGCACGTCGACCGGCTAACCCTACAGCTGTGCACTAGCTAGCAGGTAGGGTTAGCCTCCTTTGTGCTGCTGGGTGAAATGGTGGCGTTTCTCATGGACGCTCAAGGGTGCCTTTAGCGTAAAATAATTATGCTTTGTCACGCTGTCTGAAAGCGTCAGTTATGACGCATTGAAGTGAGGAGATCACAAAAGTTATTATGACACATCGTCATGTGACCAGAGTGGTGGGTCAACATTGCCTTCTCTATAGCCAATTTGCTAACGTGGCTAAAAACACATCACTGTTGCACTGGGGACCATGTTCCTTCATCACCTTTAACACACACACACACTGTAGTTTATTTAGACTCAGTCCCAGATCCTGCTGCCCCAAACACTCACTAAAGCACAACATGTGGATTCATCCACCGCTGAAAATAGTCCCTAACAAATGTACTGTTTCCTCTAGTATGAGAAATGTTTAATAAATAGCACAGGGACTAGCTGTTTTAGGAAATTACTGAGCCGAAAATTAAACTATATATTTGTGAGGGTTGTTTTAGAGATCCTCAGTAGGAACCAGTGGGCTTGGGGCTGAGAGTCGGTGACAGGGTAAAGAAGTCTCACAGTTAACCATTTTGTAAACATGCATGCTGTGTTTGTTTTTTTGGACCAGATGTAATCTATCACATCAAGTCTGCATAGTTTTTTGTGAATGGTAACAAATACATCCAAACGATCTGACTGTACAACTTGTTTTTAAATGTGGTCAGAAATAATTCAAAATGTACATGATTTGTAGTTAATTAGCTAAAACTTGCAAAAGCGCTGTTCATTTAACCTATTTTTCAATTTCAAATGTATCTTTGTCTCTGCTGTGTCACGTTATTTCATACTTTTTTGTATTTGGTACTACTGGTATATTATTTTTAATATATATTGTTTGTTTGTTTGTATGTTTTTGTTTTTTCTTTACAAAGTTTTTAGCAGAGATTTCTTTTTTGTTCATATTGTTGTCTATTAAGAAAAGAAACTGTTTTTCTATTTTTTTGGAGTATTGCACTTCCATGAATATGTGGTAATCGCAACTAAACTTTCACACAGTAGTTTGTAGTAAACGTATGTATACCTACTTCATACTATTTCTTATGTTTTATATAGGCCTATGCTGTTTTACACCAAAGACCACATTGAAAAAGGTGTTTTACACACTTAAATTGTTACAAATAAATAAATCAAAAACTGACTGTTATAGCTTTTAACTATCTTTCTCCTACTATTGGCTGCCTAATAAAGCTCCATTACAATGTTTTATAGCCTGAATTGTTGCTTTTATGATGTTGTAAAAGTTCCAAAATAACCCTAATAGCACTGACAGACACAGGCAGACTAATAATTAAATGTTGCACTGATTCATAAAAAGATGCCATCTCTCTCTCTCTCTCTCTTTATGCTTTTTAAGCAGAAACTGTGCTCTTTTGTTGGCGTCTGTGTGGAATTTAATTATTACCAAAGGCCATCAGATAGATTCAGAGTTTGGTCGAGTTGCCTTGGACAAATTCTTTTTCAACCAACCAACTGAGGTATTTTCACTCTGCGATTAAGGATGTATCAAAAGGATGATTGTGGAGAACAAAAACATATATGTGACCTGCAGTGGTGGAATGTGTCTTTTTATGTTGTTTTATATCTTCTTGAAGTATAACTGCCTAACTTTTATCTGATTTTTACTGGTTCATTACGTCCTATTGTGCATGTTTCTGATAAAGAGTTCCTTTATGGGCCTACTTCTTAAGCTAAATAATCTATTTAAACCTCTCTTAGACCAGCTGGAAAATGCATAATGACAAAGCTGAAAACGGGCTGTTTCTCTGAGCTCATGAAAAGTTTACGCTTTAGAGATGTCTCAGGACAGCGACTCTAAAAACATGTGATGATCTTATTGAATGTGGTGTATTGCTTTAGGATATAAAGTAGTTAAAATGAGCTTAACCTTCAACACCTAAATCAGTAAAATGCTTTAATTCAGCAGTAATATCAATCCAGAAACATCAAATGTAAAAGTGAAACACTGACAGGAAACAGAAAGGTAGTATTTGTGGTATTGCTACTTAAGTAAAAGCTCTGTATACTTCTTCCATCATTTGCCTCCTTTTGAATCAGCTTGAAGGACTTATTCTTTTCTTTGTATTGACTTCTTCTTTATTCAGGTATTCAGCTCCATCAGGGACAAACAAAAGTAATGTCTAAAAATCCACTTTATGTATTTTCAGTTGACATGTACAAAGCATACAATAATCATCAGATCATCCAGTAATCGAGCCATCACCTGTGTCACCTGCCTGTTTATTGATTTTTACCATTTCAGGCCCTTCTTGTGGTCAAATCTAAAGCATCAGGGGAAAAGACAATTGATTCAGTTTCTAGCAACGGTGGAAGAAGTACTCAGATACCATTGTCTAAGTTGAAGTCCTGAATTCACAGTGTTATTTTAGTAAAAGTACAGAAGTATTATCAGAAAAATGTACTTAAAGTATCAACAGTAAAATTACTCATTATAAAGAATGGCTGTTATAATATTATAGAGTATTACATAATTTGTTTTTTTATCACTAATGAATACATTTTAGAACATTTTAAAGCTTTAGTTTGTCCATGTGGACATAATTGTAGGTACTTTGTATACTTCTGGGTAGATAGTATAGTACTTCATCATATCATATAAGCATATCCTGTGTTTTTTGTATGTAAAAAAAAAAAAATCAATATTTCCCCCTGAAATGTATTGCAGTAGAATAAAGTAGCGTGAAGTGGAAATTCTCAATTACATCAAAATGCATTATTTTAGTAAATGTACCTAGTTACATTCCACCACTGGTTTCTAGTACATCAGAACAAGATGATCAAAGTCAAATAGCTCACAAAGAAACATCTCTAGCTCTTAATTAAGTGACAACAGTGGGTTCAGGTTTTTAAAAGCAATGTGTGGAGTTTTTTGGCCTCGCTTTCTTACTGTTGAAATAAGTTTGAAGAGCAGACAACAGAAAGGGTGGCTGTGTTCCAGAAAATCTTAAATCTTGTAACCAAAACTGCACGTTTGTGTTCTGAAACCCAGATTTTCTGTTTGTGTTCAACGCAAATATTCAGCCACATGTTCATTTTTGTAAATAATGCTTCCTTTACCCTCAACACCACACTGTAAAAATACTCTGCATTGAAAATGTAAAAAGTAAAAGTCATCATCATGCATTCATGTAAAAGCAGGATTTTAGTGCTGAAGTTGTTGAGCTGGAGCTAATTTTAAACTGTTTTCAATAGGACTGCAGCTCATGATTATTTTCCTTCTGGATTAATCTGCTAATTATTTTCTCAATTAATGAACTGATTGTTTGGTTTGTAATAATTCTGAAAATAGTGAGAAATGCAATCACAATTACCCAGAGCCCAAAGTGACACCTTCCCACTTTTATCCAACAGCAGCTGCATTTGTACATTTTCATGTGTTTTGTGTGTCAGATAATCCAAATTTGTAAAGTAGGACTAACCAAAAAAGACAAATAAAAGTACAATATATCCCCATGACTGTAGTGGAGTGAAAATGTCTTTCTTTTCCTGCCTGTTTGGATTTGACCACAAGATGGTGCTAATGTAGTAAAAATTAAAGAAAGGTAACAACACAGGTGACAGCGATGATGACGTGACTTCTGGATGCTGTAATTATTCTACAGGGTGTCTTGTGTCTATTTGGTGGTTTCTAACTTTTTTTAAATTTTTTTATTTCACCTGTATTCAACCAGGTTTAAGATTAACAACAGATTCTCATTGAACGGCAACCTGGCCAAGATATAGCACAATCATGCAGTACAATATAAAATTACACATTAAATGCATAGGTACAAAAATACAAAATGCAGTAGAGCGTCTACATACAATTTGTGCAAGGTGAGGGGCCTTCAGAGAGGTAGGTCAGTTGGTAAGTGCTATTGCAATAATCAAAAGAGAGAATAACATTTGCGCAAATTTATGCAAAATAGTATAGTACCAAGCAGCGTTTAGATATGACAACTCAAGTAGAAATACATCATGAGGCGAGACAGAGACAACAAGGACAGAAATGTGCAAAAAAAAAAAAAAAAACAATGTGCAAACGATGGAGGAGTAAGTGACTGCTGCTGGTACCTGATGAAGGCAAAAGCTGTTTGTTTGAATAAATAAGAAATGTACTGTATGCGTGTGGTCTTCCTTCCCTTAAGAAGGCCACCAGCACACGTTTCTAGTATGCGGATGGGTTCTCACTGATTTGCATATTTAATAAAATAGCACTACAGGGAGTCGCTGTCTCCTCGCACAGAGCATAAGCAGTTAGAAAACAGAAAAGCACGATAATTTGGGTGTTTCCATTCTGTCTAACTGTGACAGAGCTGGAAATAAACTCGTTTAATTAGCTGGACTTAATGAATCTGGACCGACTGCAATTAAAACTCTCGACAGAAACAGGAGGTTTGGTGAAGATCTGTAGACTGAAATTAAATTTATTTTGTATCCCACTGAACACTGCGCATACTGCATGTCCATATGCTACCTTTGTTCAAGCTGTTTATATTTGAGTCAAATTGTGTAATTGAGTTTCCTCCCTTGTTTGGCGACACAAAGTAAAACACATTTTAAATAGTCATAAAGTGCGTGAGGTCTGTTGCAGTGACATGCAGCATAGTCCTGGGACAGCAAACAATACACAGGAACAATGACCATATACCAGAGTTCATTAAACATATCATCCCTCGGTGAAGTGTCTCCTCCTTTCCTCCTACAGTCAAACAAAATGCATGCACTGAGAATAAGTCTGTGTCTGCAGTGGTGGAAGAAGCACTTAGAATTTGTTAAAACAATTAAAATCCTAGTAAACTCACAGAAGTATCGTTGGAATAAAATATGCCCATGTGAGTTATGTTATATTATTTTAAAACAATAATAATTATATTATTGTTATTATATTGTATCAGTGTGTTTGTGCATTTACTGTTGCAGCTGGAACTTGTTTCATCTGCTTCACATACAGTCAGTCTAGTCCAGTGTTTTCCAACCTTTTTGGCTCGTGACTATTTACAAAAAAGCAGCTTTGGGTTCCCTAATCATGTTTCACATGGCTAAGACTTGTTCCCGCCAAAGAGACACCTCTAAATATTTTAAAGATGGTTTTATTTAAATAAATGTTTCAGGCCCAAATATTTAAAATGATCCAACACAAGAACAGGACAAAGGGAAAAGAAATTCATGACGGAAAAACAGATTTGTTCAGGTTGGGAACCACTGGACTAAACTATGTAACAGTATATATAAAGTAGTTTGCTCCGTCTCGAGCAGCTGCAGCAGTAAAATGCTCCCTATTAGTGCATCAAAATTAAAATCTCATAATGTGTAAAATTATTTCTCAGTAGAATGGACATTTTTTTCTATTTTTATTTTGACACTAAAGATAAGTCAGCCGCTTCCAAGACCACTACAAGTAGAATTTTAAATGCAGGACTTTTACTTGTAATTGAATATTTGTAAAATACTGAAAGTACTTCTTGCACCACTCATGACTGCATCTACCCTCTTCTATCCTCCAGGAGGTTCATGGAAACTGGCTCCGTCATCAGGTGGTTTGTTTATTTGTGTGTGCGTCAGCCACTGCAATGAGCTGATAGCTATGTTCTCAGTGCCGTTTGACTATAACTTCTACAAGAACAAGATGGTGGTGGGCATTTTTGAAAAGATACAAGGCATCAAAAAGAAGCTGTACGACCTCACGTGCAAGGGAAAGGATTTTACCCACTTTGTGCGTCTGATGCCAACAACTCAGGCTTGAGGTACAAGGGAGGCATGGTGGACTTCAGGGCCTGCATGTCTGATGAGGGTAGGACTATTATGGGCAGATGAGTCTGTAATGCTGTGAGAATAAACGAATGCACTGGTGTGCAATCAATTGTAAGAACACAGTCGACGCAGATATTCCTGAAAACCTACGTGCAATTTAGTCATTCATGTCACGTATTGGTGCTTTAAATGATAAAATCATGGATGTCCCTTTTTTAATCATCTTTAATTTATATCATCACACATGATCACAGATGTTTGCAGTAACAGCAGGTAACAAAATTAAAAGTTTTACATCTCGTCAGTAGACATAGCATAAAACATAACTCACTTTGCAGTAAAATGATGACCAACACACCTGTGATCCCAACAGGTAAGCAGGTGTCCTGTGCTGTATTGGAGGTAAATTTAGTGAATTGTGATGGAGAAGGATGAAGCACTGCTATTAACAGCAGTATATACAGTATATATGAAACTGCATTGTAACACACCTCCCGTGCTGTCGCAGCCTTTATGAGCAACAACATGAGTGAATCAGCAGAAGAAGCTATCATCAAGAGCTAAATAAATGTCACCATTGAGATCACCAACATCACCAATAACTCCTGCCTAGATGACCCAAAGTAAGTGCAAGACTTAGAAGACAAGATTACATTGTTGAGTATGTTGTAAAAAAGAGTGCACATTAAAATAAAGTGGACCCATTCATTATGTAGTTTAGCCTTTATTTTGCTTCTTTTCTTTATTGTTTTGCCTCACAAAAAAGAGTTTTCTTGGGGCTTGGCAACTGCTACAGCCCACCCAATGAAAACAAAGGTGTGCAACCTCACCAGGTTCAGCGCCAAAGCGTTAGAGAGGCAAAACAACTGTGCTACAGAGACAATGGCTATAATGTTCTCCATGCCCTTTGACCATAACGTTAGCAAGAACTGTCTGGCTGTAGGAATCCATGAGCACAGCAAAGAGTGCTTTCATTTCCGACCAGTGTGTAGTGTTGCATATTATGTTTAGCGCTTTGGACACCTGTGCTACTGTACCGTCTGCAAAAAAGTCATGAGTCTTTGCAATTTATCAGCTTATATTTTGTTCTTGATTTAAAGCACAAATATAATTTCTACTTATAAGATACATGTTCAGAAAGCCTCCACCAGCAGCGCCTTACAGAAATTAACATGATACAAATAGATTATAAAACAAAATGACATCAATCATTGACATTATTTAGTAAATAATAAGATAAAAGACAAATTGATTTCCAAGAAAATGAGGTCTGGTGTTTCTTTATATTACTTACCAAAAGATGAAACTTCCCTCCAGCTACAACAGAAGTTGGCATGTAAATGTCACCACCTAGTGGTCAAAAGTACAACATATATCCAGTATCCTGAGTATTCTGTTTATATACTTAAACCAGTGTCTACACTAGCATCATCAATTCAGTTATTTAGTAAGTACATTTTTTAAACAAACAAGATAAGACATATTAATCAGTGAGCTTTTCAGATGTTTGTAGGTAGATTGTTTTCTTTTGACATTTGGACAGAGCCAGGCTAGCTGCTAGTTTCCAGTCTTTATGCTAAGCTAAGCTAACCTTCTGCTGGCTCCGCCTTTATATTTAACAGACAGATATGAAAAAGAGCATCAATCTTCTCATTTAACTCTTTGCAAGAAAATAAATAAGCTTATTTATGTGACAGGACAAGTACGCCTGTTTTCTGTCAGGAGTAAAGCTGGAAAGAGCAAAGAGCTGTCCACTGTTCACATGCACAAATACAGAAAAAAGGCAGCACACCAGTAAAAAATCTTGCAGCAGTTTTGTCAGTTCATTAAAGGTCAATTAAATAAAAGATGAAGACATTAGGTGATTCTTTTACTTTCTGCATTTTTCCTAAATTTCTTTTAGAGAAACAACTACAGTCCTTTGAAGTCAGTGTTGTTTTCTTTTAACTATGTTAACACAATCTTTACCAAGTAGTTTTTGCATCTAACCCTAACCAAACCTTAGCGGTGGGAGATCATATGACTCATTTGTATGAGTTTTCAAAGATACAAATAAAGTATATCTGTGTGTATTTGTGTCTCCATCTGTGCAGGATCAGTCTGATCCAGAGCACTGCTCATAAAAAACACTGACAACCGTATTGAACCTGTCCTTCAGATACATCTCAAGTGTTTCCAGTGGCATTTGTCTGACGTCATATCCCCGGAACTGTTTCTTAGCTGTCTTATCAACAGGCACAATATCCTCAGTGCTGTTGCGGTCATTGCGACCAATGGCAGCGTATGTGGGAAATGCAGCCCTCAGATTTTCTGGAAGACTGTGGTTGTAGTTTGGGCAGCAGTAGGCGGACCACATGTACTCAGGCACAGCCACGCGATGATTCTTGAGCCAGTGATCGTCGCTCTGGTAAGGGATGATCCCGGTCACGGTGTGAGCCTCTCCCAGACAGTAGGCCGCTAAGGTTTTGTTGACAGTCTGCTCCAGGAATTCCCAGGGCCCGTCATTGGAGCCGGCCTTCTGAGGGACCACATTAGTGAGGGTGAAGGTGGCGGCGCGGTCCTCATGGCTCTGGTGGTGAAGGCTGGGGTTCAGGTGGCCACGAGAATAAGTGGAATTAATGTAGTCCAGCTCCACCGCCTGGCTGTCCACCACGTTCTGGTCCAGAGGGCCCGGAGGGAAGGGGATCATGTTGCCATCAGCTCCTGGGTAGGCTAACTGTTAAGTGGAGGGCGTAAGGGAAAAGTGATGCAGTTTTAAAGTTGACGACACGTCATACAGCCCTTATGTTTCTGTGTGTTCAGAGGAAGAAGGCATTTTGCAAATTATGTGGAAACCCCTAAAGTCTACAGCTCTCTATATTTAGGCCGGTGCTTTAAGGTAAATGCTAAAGTCAGCATGACAATTGCTGTCTTTTCCTCTGAGGACCATGAATATCTGGACAAATTTCATGGCAATCCATCCAACAGTTGTCAACATCTGTCAGTCTTGGACAAAGTGGTGGACCGGCCGTGCCATCCTTGAGCTACACCGCTAGCATGGCTAAACAGTGTCAAGGTCAGGAGTCCTAATTACCCTAGAGCCATGTTTCCCAAACTTAAGGGTCGGGACCCAAAATGGGTCGCAGGCCCATTTTTATTGTATCGGCAATAATATGTGATACGTGGAGAAGTGCTCAGTAATGAAGATTTGGTTTTAAAATGAATAAATTGGACAGGTATCTCCACGCTGTATCTGGGAAAGTCCAAACATTTTTTTCTTTGCAAAGAAGAATCCTTCAAGATGTGTTGATTCAGTCTGTCACAACATACAACTCTAACATACCCGAATAAAACGATTCATAAATTAATTTTATACACATGGTTTGTTTTGCCCTTTTATCCATAGTTTGTAAATGTAGATGTATTTTCGTAAATTTGGGTCCCAGGGAGACACCAGATTTCTCTTTCGGGTCATTAGCTGAAAAAACAGTGCCCTAGAGCAACTTAACAAATTTTTAACTAGGCATCAAAATAAAAAAAAATAAAAAAATTAACTGACTTTGTTTTCAAAACCTTCAAAGCACTGTCAGGAATATAATCATAGTGAAGAAAATACTAAATTCCTGTTTTATTCTAATTTCATTCATGTCTCTATTAGGTTTTTTTGTCTAAAAAAATTTGCTGTGATTATAAAAAGTAAGAAACCTGCCATGTGTAATTTTCAAGAAGTGATTAAAATATATTCACAGAAATGATACTGAAGATATGACCTTGGTTTCCTCAATGGAAGCTACTTAGTTAAGGAAGGCTCTTTAGTCTGGGCAGTCTTGTGCTGACTGCAATGGGGAACAGGTTGTCTGACAAACAATTTATAACCACTTCTTTGATAAGCATGTCCAGTAAGAGGGAAAAATCTACTTTAAAGCCATAGTTCGGCTGGTGAGCTACAGTAAGTTTGTTTTGTGGGTTTGGTCTGTTTTTCCTTTGAAGTCTCACCATCATCTGATATTGTGATGGGGGCCAGTTTTTTATTGACATTATTTTCAACAAATAATATTTGCACCGGTTGGAAGGACAGCCTATTTTGAGTTATGATGTATTGTAATGAAATTCATTATTTAAAAAATAAATGTTTCCAATGAAATGTCCAATTAAAGTTTGAAGCATTATAGTGCTGTACTGTCACCTTGTTCTTCTCTTGATAAATGTTGGGCTGATGTTCACAACTTTGTTGTCAGCTTTGTAATATTAAAGAGCATAAAAAAAGAGATCATGCTATGTTCTCATTATAATAAGGATTTGTGTTGATCTGAGCATATATGAGGTGTAACTTGTTATTTGGCAGTTACTGTGCATCACAGGTGATGTTGTGCAGTAATCCAAAAGTAATGTAACTATTAGTGTAACTAGTTACTTTCAGCAGTGAGTAATCTCCTAAAAAAAGGCTTTACTTTAAAAAAAGTAACTAGTAATGTGTAATATTTTACTTTTTTTGAGTGACTACCCCAACACTGGCTACAGATTAGCCAACGCGTTCTCAGATCTATCAATACAGTATTCTTTGCACCATGAGAGCTGAGAGACCACGAACACACAAACAAGATATATCATGCTGAGACAGTTCTTCTTTGCTGGGCTTCATTTCCTCATTTACTTGCTATTTCCTGAAAACACATTTCTGGCTGTGGCTAAGGAGGTAGAGGGGAAGAATAATGTCTTGTTTCAGTGCAGACATACTGTTTTAGAGCAGTTAAGACAAAGTAAAATAAGTTGTGAAATGAATAAAAACACATCTGAATAAACCAGATAGTTAAATAAATGGCTTCACAGATTCTGATCAGTCAATCAATCTCGCTCACTCTAAACAGCCCAACTTTCACCTTCTTTAATACTCATTTTCTGGGATTCTCACACTAATATAAATCCGTTTCAAATCTATGAATCAAACAACATAATATTTTAATATTCTCACCTGTGGCTCAAACTTCCAAGATGAAGTGGGTCTCTTTCCTGCTGGAACTGTGTACAAATAGGCTGAGAACCACGGGGAGCGGCGAGGTCGACTGTACAATGTGGCAAATCGGTACTGGTTGTAATACCGTTGGCAGATCGGGGTCCCCGTCAGTCCTTTAGGGGGCCAAGACTTATAGAAGACCTGCAGGCATGGAGCGAAATCCCCGACATCAGCTGCACACAGGCACCAGCCTCCAGCGAAGGCCAGGACAGCCAGAGAGTAGAAATGTGCCATTTTGATAAATGACAGTGCAGGTGGTGAAATTAATCCAGCTGTCACGAATTCACACGGACTCTCAGAGAAGCATGAATTCAGTGAGAGCGGTTCCCTTTTCGTTAAGACATGCCCTGTGCGTGAAAGCAGAAGCAGCTTCAACGTGAGTTTCACTTTTGTTTCTTGGAGGAAAGAAATTCACTGAATTAGCAGTGACTGTCCCACTTTTGCGCTTCCTCTTACACGCAACACTTTGAATTCAGAAGCAATGCAACACAGCATCCTTGTTGGACAAGTTAGGCTACTTGAAAACTGTGATCAAATTACTCTTTACAAAGAAGACATTGTGGTTTAGCAGGCATGCCCTTAATTCAGAAGGACTAGATTAGGCATTAATTATTTATTTACTGAATTTCTAATTATAATCACTTATTCTACTCATTGCTGATAAAAGAAATGAAATTACTGTTACATAGGTTAATAATTAATGCTATACTGCCCAGCACTGCTCATTCCTCACTTACTCTTGCAGCTATGTGGTCTGGAATGACCAGTTGTAGCAAACTGTAGATATGGACTGTATTCAGATCAGTTTACTGACTTTATGACTCCAATCTACCAAGCTACTGTTACACGCTGGTTTTTAACACCAAGCACAACCCCCTAGTTATGAGACATGGATGCAGCTGTTTTCATTGAAAAGTCTCTAAAAGCCAACATACAAAACCTGCTCAGCAGACAGACACAGTTAGAGGCTAAAGAACCAGATATTTCCCTCTGGGGTTGTTACAGAGCTAAAAGAGAGTGACTTAAATTCATCTTGTGCACAGAAACATGACTCTAAAAGAATTATAATGTTGCTAACAAGTTCAACATATTCATTTAAAAGGTGATGATTTGTCTTCTGTTTATACAATCCTCTGTTGTAAAACAAGAAATCTACCTTGGACCTTGTACCTTGTTTTGTTCATTACTTGTTTGCGCTGCCCCCAAGACGCCGTTGTATCTTAGTAAAGCTCAAAATGTGGATTAATCAAGTGCTTAAAATAGTCTCCAACAAGTTAGCTATTTACTGTGTGAGGAATGTTTGCTCAAAAGTTCAGTGACCAGCTGTTTCAGGAAATTCACAGACAGAATAGGGAAGTCAGAAAGTACTGAGGGAGAGACGCATTGTTTCTGTCTCTTTGTGGGATTTGATGTGATTTAACCAAGTTTCACACTCAGTGGATAACCCCACTGATGGTGAGGCCCAGTCTGATGGTTGGCTGTAGTCCTGATAAACTGTTTAAAACTATATGAAATACCTTGTGAGAATCACCTAAATGCCCAAAGAGCCACGGGGGGGGGTAGAACCGAATTTACTTACAACCTCAACTCATGCCCCTATCATGTGACCCTTTTCCAGAAGAAAACAAACAACATCAGCCTTCACTATGGCTTAATGGTGAATGGTTAATCCAACATGGATAATGAATTACAGATGTTGCTGAACTTGTTGTCTATGCTAGCAGCTGTGTCTTTTTTGACACTTGCATTTGAGAAGTTAAAGTCATGCACATGCTACAGTCTTACTTGGACCTGGTATGACCAAATGAGTTCATGGTGGCTACTGTTAGCAAACTTTGCATAACTGACATTACTGACATGGCCGCTAAAGAGCAATGATTTACATTTACCAGATCGACAGAAACTCAACTCAAAATCAATGTTGATGTTGCTCAGTGTCTGCTGGATGTGTAAATTACCAACTGCTTGCTAACACGCTAAGCACTATCAACTTTATAGGGCGCTAAAATGTCACTTGTGTTTTCTGCTGGTGTGCAAGGGGCCAGAAATACCAACACCTTGAACAAAAAAAAGCAGGGTCTTGGAACTTGCCTTTCCTGCTCCATATTTTATGTCACACCAGGCGAGAGTGTCTCCACAAGAAAATTTTTTTTTTAATATTGTGTTGCTGCACTTTGTGTGTTGGGACGGGGAGGTAAGGAGGTGGTGTGGTGGTGCTGCTCTGCTCCCTGACTGTGTATTTAGCACAGAGAGAGGGTGGGCTCTGTGGGAAAACCTTTCCTCTCCTCCCCTTCAAACTACAGACATAAATCCCCCTCCCCCCATGCCCCTCACTTCCTTATGTAATGCAATAATCGGGTTCAGATTGTTGTCCATTCACAGGCTCGGCTTCACTTGTCCAGAGAAGGCTTAAAGAACATTTCTCCACTGTTTCGGTGATTTAAGGTAGGTTACAACATTTTTTTTTTTCTGCCTTCAGAGCAGTACTCGAAGGTTCTGTATTTTCCTGACACCAACTTGTGCAGAACTCCAAACAAATCAGTTTTCATCTGTGATATGTTGCCAAGAGTGCGTGGACATGCAGACAGGAAACTGGTCACTTGAGGGCAAGTTACTTCAGCACGTTATGAATAGAGACTCTGCTATGTGTGTTTAGCCTGTTAGCAGGTCCCTGCTGTATGAGGATGATGAGATTAGAGACCAGGCATTAGTCCCTTCATGTGTTCCACTTGACTTTGATCTGTTAAACCAACTTTTCAGGCACTCTGGGTGTCCATGTAGTAATTTCCCTGTGGTTGCATTTGTAAATCCTTGTCACAAGTTTACAGTTTGCAGCTAAAACCATCTGGTAACGGTTTCCAATGGACAAAAACCCAGAACAACATCTTTTTGGAATTAAGAATAAGAACAGTGGTGGAAGTACTCAGGTCCTTTAGTGTCGCTTACGCAAAGCATGTAAGTAAAATCAGGAAAATGTACTTTTATTATCAAAAGGACTGATGAAGATGAAAATGTCCACTTTGACTGTTATTATTTCTTAACGTAAAAGCAGCATTTTACTGTTGGAGTTGGTTGAGGTGGAGCTTATTTTGAACTTCTTTATTTTATAAAGGACTGCAAAGAATGATTATTTTAATTACAGATCAATCTGATGATTATTTTCTCAAGTAATCCATTTGATTGATTGTTTGGTTATAAAAGTTTATAAAAAATAAATAAATTATCACCATGAATGAATCCTCACATTTGGAAAGCTAGAGTTTTTCCGTGAAAAATGTCCAAACAAGTATGAAAATAGTTACCATTAATTTATTACCATTTATTAATTTTCTATCAATCAACTAATCAGCTAATTGTTTCAGCTCTACTTGTATATATTGTTAGGTACAGTAGTTTAAGTATTACGAAGTCCTGCCACTCGACAGCCATCTTGTTAACGCTTCTGGTCAGTTATTTTTCCTAACCAGGTCAGGCCCCTATCCAAATGAATGGGGAGAGAGCTATATCTGCACTTTAATTGGTCAAGCGCAAAAAAAATTTGATGACTTTGCCCCCAAAAGGTTTAAAAAGCGTTTTTCCCCACAGGTTATATTTCTACTAAGCATGTGCAAGGTTTATTTACGGCTCTTTCCAGAGTGCCGGTGACATGACTCCATGAGCTCCGAAGCACTTGAACAAATGCTATGCTAACTGATGTTATGTTTACAGTCAGCATAAGCCATATACGTTTATAGAAGGTGTGTTATATTTTCTCTCATGTTGCAAGTACTGCATGTCAAATCTGCCGCAGCGTTTTGGTGGACATGTAGTGCATCTGATCTTCTAACGTACCTGCTCCATGCTGCCAACATTTGAAACTCTCACAAACCTCAACTGTGCACTTAAGTCAATGGAACTACACCATTTGCTTAATATTTTCCCAGGTTCGACTGTTAAAAAGCATAAGATTGGCTTTCTTGCAGAAGAGCTGGGATATGTGCTTATAACCGCCATCTTTGGCTATACAGGCTGTCCCCATAAAAATCTATTTAGGATTCTTTAAGTGGCGTGTCTCTGCCCTTAAACAGTCTCTGGGATTATTTTATAAACTCCTCATGGTCTGTGTGCAAGAATCCATCCATCCATCCATCATCACCTGCTTATCCTACGTAGAGAGTTGGGGGGGGCTGGAGCCAGTCCCAGCTTAATGGGCGAAAGGCGGGATACACCCTGGACAAGTCGCCAGTCCTTCGCAGGGCCTGTGTGCAACAATCTTGATTTCTCTAATTGCAAGTGCAACCGGTCAAGCAGCTAACTCAACTTCTGAAAAGGAGAGTATGTTGTTTTACTAGTCTTGAAATGGTTTGGAATACTGCAGTATCCAAACTAAAACTATAATTACAGCTTGCTGCAGTATCCGAACCAAGGGTGTAAGGATAGAGGGTGTTGTATATTATAAAGCCACTTGAAGCAATTTGTGATTTGTGAAATTCCCCAACAACTATAGTTGTCATGACCTCAGTGCCCTCGGTAGTATTATGGCTACACTCATGGGTCCATGTAAGTGTTTGTGTTTGTTTGATGGTTTGCAATTCCCAACTTGTTGGATACTTTTGTCAGTCAAGAGAATAAACACATTAAGCATGAGATAAGGACTCATCATGATAGGTTATTACTGAAAAATGTGCAATTGCTCACATTAAACTTTGTTGTTTTATTTTGCTCAGAGTTAATCCATGGGGAGAATCCCAGGAATTCCACTTCTGCTTCTGGTGGTGAGTGTGTCCCTCCTGACAAGTCCCACTGTCCAGGGTGGAAAGATTCTGGTGTTCCCCGTGGATGGCAGCCATTGGGTCAACATGAACCTGCTGATCCAGAGCCTCCACGACAAGGGCCATGAGGTCACTGTGGTCCGCACAGCCACTAGCTGGTACATCAAAGAAAACGCACCACATTACCGCTCCATCACTATCACCCTACCAGAAGCCATCGTCATAGAGGAGCAAGACTTCTTTGTGAGCTTCCTTGCCAAGATGCTGGCGATTCAGAAAGGGGGGGGGTCTCCTATCGCCTTTGCAAACTTCTACTGGGAAATGCTCAGTACGCTGTCAAAAATTCACCAACAGGCCAGCCAGCTGGGGGTAGAAATGTTTGAGAACAAGACTCTCATGCAGAGCATTCGTGACACTCAGTTTGACGTGGTTCTTCTGGATCCGGGATTGCCAGTGGGAGTTCTAGTGGCTCATGAACTTAGGCTGCCAACTGTTTTTAACGTGAGGTGGATCACCAGCGGAGAAGGGCATTTTGTGGTAGCTCCATCTCCATCATCCTATGTTCCAACTTCAGGATATGCTGCGTCGGATAAGATGACCTTTGTGGAAAGGGTCAAGAACATGTTGCACTATGTCCTCAACACATGCATTGACAAGTTTATAGTATGTCCTCACTATGATAGAATGGTAGACAAATATTTTGGTCCAGATGTGAATTTCTATCACCTTCTACAAGGAGCAGACATCTGGCTCATGAGGGTGGACTTTGCTTTTGAATTCCCAAGACCCACCATGCCAAACATCGTCTATATTGGAGGTTTTCAGTGTAAGCCCTCTAAGCCTTTATCATCAGAGCTGGAGGAGTTTGTCCAAAGTTCAGGAGAGCATGGATTCATCTTGATGTCCCTTGGTACACTGGTCAAAGGCCTACCTAAAGAAATCACTTCTGAAATCGCTGCTGCCTTTGCGCAAATTCCTCAAAAGGTCATATGGAGGCATGTAGGTGAGCCCCCCGACAATTTGGGCAACAACACCCTACTGGTAAAATGGATGCCCCAGAACGACCTCCTGGGCCACCCAAAGATTAAAGCCTTTGTGGCCCATGGTGGTACTAATGGGATCTATGAGTCCATCTACCATGGAGTGCCGATTGTAGGCATACCCCTTCTGTTTGACCAGTTTGAGAATGTTTTGAGAATGGAGGCTCGTGGAGCGGCTAAGGTGGTGCAAGCGACCAAACTCACTCGCCAGAACTTTCTGGAAGCAATACAAGAAGTTCTTCATAATCCTTCCTATAGAAATAACATGAAGCGTCTCTCAGCTATCCATCGGGATAAACCAATGCATCCTCTAGACACGGCCGTTTACTGGATTGAGTTTGTTATGAGGAACAAAGGAGCGTCACATTTACGCACTGAGTCTTACAAGATGCCCTGGTATGCTTATTATTGTGTGGATGTTGTATGCTTTTTGTTAGCAGTCCTGCTGATGATTACAGCCATTGTAGTGGGATCAATACGATTTCTTTGCTTTAAACTGTGCAGGAGGAGAAAACCCAAGCAGGAGTAGTGACTGACTCCTCACATCAGATTAGAGTTCATTAACATAATAATAACTTGAATTTTATGGCGCCATTGCTTTAGGGATGATGATGTTTGTCTGTCCTGGACTGAAAGATCTCACTAGTGAGATGCCATTCATTTGTACAGACATTCATTCACTCCTAAGAACTGTTTTTGGTAAACCATGTGGATGACATTTTTGGTTTTGAGTGACATGTCTCTGCAACTGTTGGATGGATTTTAACGTAGGATTTATTATGGTAATCCCTAATTATTTTGATCTCCCGACTTTTCCTCTAGCACCATCAGCAGGTCAAAGTTTTCTCTTCTCCAGTAAAATATCAACAAGATAGTTTAGCACCAAATTTTATACAAACAATCATGGATCCCAGACAATGAATCCTAATGACTTTGGTGATCCATTGACTTTTCTCCTATGAGTATGACATTTGAGGTTTTGAGTGAAATGTCTTGACAGCTAAGTACTGCTTTCATTGACATGAAATTTGGTTCAGATATTCATGGCAGTCTCATGATGTATTGTAAAAATCCCTTAAAGGTACAATGCGTAAAATATGGCCAGATTCAAAATATTTACTAACATTATCAACAGAATGTAAAGAAGTGACAATTCTGTTGTTGTATCACAAACGTCAATGTATTGTGTAGGAGATATCTACTGAAATGAGCATGCTAATCAGCTAGCTTCAGCCCATCCTTTGTTGTGATACCACTTTTTCCTGTATGGAACATGTGGTCAGGAATTACACATTGTACCTTTTAACGTTTCATCTTGCTGGTTTATGACCAGCTAAACTAATGACACTGCCCTCAGCCTCAGCTGTACTTTGTATTCAGTGCTAATCGGCCAATGTTGGCATGCTATCATGCTAAATTTAAATGGTGAACATGGTAAATATTGTACCAGCTTAATATTAGCATGTTAGCATTGAGCGTGCTGACATTAACTTTAACTCTCAGTCGTGTTAAAGATTTACATCTGCAGTAGGAACCAATGCACTTGAAGCTGAGTGACAGGGTAGGAAAGTTGGAAAGTACAGAGAGACACACACAGTGCGTTTTGGTCTGTTGTCTGCATATGTTTATAGTAATGAAAACCATGCAGCCTCATCCTTTAACTGGACATGCACACAGAAAATGTAACTGAGCTACCTTATTTCCTGTATTTCAAAATGAAAGCTGCAACTTTATGTTGTGTATTGTCACTTGAAGAAAGACAATGCAGTCTGTTATATCTATCCACATTTATAGTTGAAAATTTAAAATAAAAAAGTAAGAAAAGAAACAAATGCTTGGCAGTTACTGTCTTTATTCCCTGCAATGAAACAATGGCATCTGAAGACTAAATACTGTTTTATTTAGAAAGAAAACATGTCCACTATCACCCTGTTATAACTCAGACTTTAATACATTACAATACAGCAATTTAATAAATCACGGATATAGTCCTATAATTGACTACATACATACAAGTATAACTTTAAATGACTGTATTTCTGCTATATTTATAATATGAAATGAGAAATAAAAAATGTTCTTGGATGATCTAAACATTCTTTTCACAGATCCATCTATAAGGTGTCTTACAGGACCCATCCATCCAGGACTTGAGTGCAGTTTCACTGGTGTCTATGTGTCCACAGTCCTCTCCTAGAGGGTCATCCAGCTTCCAGTCATCAGGCTCAGTCACCATTCCTGGTCTGCTCAGCCAAAACCTGGAGAAAGAGTGGGAGCTGCTGTGTTACATAATCCTCACGGTGTCTTATTTCATTCAGTGTTATTAAAGCAAGTCACAGATCTATTCTCTTTGGTGCAGAAATCATCTTAGAGTTTGTAAAACTATTAAAATAACAGAAGAAACTGCAGTTTAAGGCCCAAAACAACAATAATAACAATAGAGGGATCTTAAAAACATCAACACACAGGTTAGGGGGGTACAATAATTACTGTAATGGTCAACTCAATGAACGATTTCATATCTATACATTGCTTCCAAAGTGCTATGTCACAGAGCTCTTTCTTTTCTTCTGCCTTGTGTAATATGTTGTCTGCAAACTTTTACAGCTCCTTAGCTGTCTCTTGAGCTTGTGAGGTACAAGGCCTTAAATTATTGGTTGATGGCCTGTGTGCCCACATTCTTGGCATCATAGTTGCTACCCATACCACTTAGGTTCTGGCCAAGATCCATGTGGTCGCTCTCAGAGGACTCCAGAGCAATGCTGGTCGCATCTAATTTTTTGCTTTCTTAAAGCTCGTCAGTTTCTTCCTCTGTCTGTCTCTGTTTACCACAGAAACAGTACAGTACTAAGCTGTGTTGTCAGTGTGGAAGAGAATAGTGAGAGATGTGTCTCCTTGAGGCTTATAAGGCTTAGAAAGTTCACGGGACAGATTGAGAAATCACTTCTTGTTGCACAATGCAGACAATGCAGTACAGTTATATAACCAATAAGTCCCCTTGGAACAATGAACTCAGGTTTTAAGAGCACTCATTTGATTTGGACTCAATGTTTTGAAACATTGGTAGATAAAAAACGACAATATCAATAATGACAACTCCCCAACCAAGCAGATACTTGAGGAGGTATTCTAGCGTCAGACCCAGTGACTGCTGTAAGAGATTGGCTCGTTGGTCTAGGGGTATGATTCTCGTGTGAGAGGTCCTGGCTTCTATGACAACAAGCATAGCTTCACATACTTAAAATATCTTTAACACAAATGTCAAACTAATTCATTATTATTCGACGTTGTTTTGTAAATTGCGATTGATACATTAATCATGCAGAAGGTATAAATGATTACGGCACTAAGTGATGTTCTTCTCTTGCTTTTTACTGGAAAATGTGTGCAGAAACACAAGTGTCTTATGTAAATTTAGCATTTAGTTAATTTAGTTATTTTCTTAACAGCGTGTCGTGATACTGGTAATAGTTTTGGGACATAACTAAATGAAATGAGAGTGTAAGCAAGTTAAAAACAGTAATTCTGAGTTACAGTCTGAGATCTATCATTCTTAGTTTGTGCAATTCAAACTTTCAATTATTTTTAAAGAAGAAAGTTATCTGAATGAAAACAAAATTAACAAGTCGAGTTCTTATAGTGTCAGATCTAAAGATAAATAAATTTAGCAAACTTTTTTTGTTTTTGCAATGTACTAATCTAAAAACTAATGTTCACTTCTATAGTGGAAAGTAAAAATAAACATATTGGATAGACAGTGAATTTCATGCCATTTCAGCGACACATTTATTCTCTGCAGTAACCACATAAAAATGCATAGAAAGATTCGATATAAAGAAACTTCTTGAGCTTGTTGGTGATTGGCGACAGTGACAGACAGTAATTTTTTAAAAAGTGTCTTAGGCCTACTTTATATTTCTTTAATGGTAGACACAAAACCTTGTAGTGTCAAACTTTACTGTTGAGAAGCATGAGAAGCATCTCTGCTGTAAGTATTATCACAATGTCCTTGTACTTTGACTTACTGTACATCTGAAGCGACTGAGTTGCCGTCCACCCAGAACCATTCACCCTCCTCCTCTGCGTCTGTCATACCGATCCACAGCCTGCTGCCGCTCGACTCCAGAGCCTGGCCTCTTTCAAAAGTAAAGTTCTAAAAAGAGAAAGATGATTCAAATTATATGCTGCCTGGAAACCTTTGAGTGTCCTACAATTGCTGCATGTTGTCTTCTTTTTGTCCTCCTACCTGTTCTGGCTCACTGTTAATGATGAGCAGGTCGCCCCCTTGTGTCTGGCACCAGGCTCTGCTGGAGCTCCAGGGGAGCCTGCGAGAGGAGAAGTAGTAGCACTTGGCCTCAAACTGTTTCCAGCTGTCGGGACACTTTTTGCAAATACGTTCTGTGAAAAAAGAAAAGTAAAAATAGTTTATTTTGACTCAATACCACACACACCATCCTGCTGTCTTAAATACTAGAGCATCAAATGTGTATTAATCAAAATAAAATAGTCCCCAACAAATTCACTATGTCCTCCTTTAAAAACAAAATGAAACTATATAGGCTATTTCTGGGGTGCATGCATTTGCTCAAGAACACTGGGGGGAAACTGCATATGTACCTTTCGTCTGGTGACTAACCACGGGGCAGTAGAGGTCTAGGGATGTGTAGGCCTCCTTCATTGAATGCATGTCCGCCACTGTTCGGCCCATTTCGTTTCTCCTGCTTTCCTCACACGCTGCTGCTTTCTTCCTCCCGTTCATCAACATGGCGCTCAGGTTCCGGTTTTGCTCTTGAAGCTCTGTCACTCTCTCCTGGAGCTGCAGGTTGTGTTTTGACGCCTTCTCGCGGCCATCGTTCAGCAGAGCTCTGATCTTCTCACTCAGATTTTTAATTTCTCCCTGAAACTTGTCGTTTATTTCCTGAAGTTCTCGATTCTTTTCGACCGCTTGAAACAGCTCATCCCTCAGAAGGCTGTTCGTCTCAGAGAGTCGTCGCTTCTCCTCCTCTCGCTGAGCGTTGGAGTCAACCAGATATTTGATAGTCTGAGACATGTTCAGTTTTTTTTCTTCCTGCTCAGATGTGTACTGGGCCAACCGCTCATGCTCTTGTGTGAGTTGTAAGTTTGTAGAAGTTAGATTCACAATTTTCTCCATTAACTCTGTGTTTTCCAAGCTCAAAGCCAGATTCACAGACATCAGTTCGGCTGAAGGCCTGTTGAAAAGTTCGGCCTGTTCAGGCAGCCGGGCGCTGTGCTCCTTCAAGATTTCATTGTCTCCTTTCTGGCCGGTGTTCGGTTTAGAAAGAGTGAGGTAGCTGTCACTGATGTTCTGGTAGTCAAAGCGGAGACTTTTCCATCTGTCTGACTCATTGTTATCTGAAAGTTAAAGACAAAGATTCATTACTTTTGTTGAAACAAAGGAGAACACAGCATGCTTCTGAATGTAACTCCAGCACAGATAACTTAAAAAAAAAACACATTGCAGTTAGAGGAATACCAGGAAATTGAAGGAAATATGAGATTTGCTTTCTTTCTGAGAGTGAGATGAGAAGATTAATATCACTGGAGTCAGGACATGGTTAGCCTAGCTTAGCATGAAGGCTGGAAACCGGGGAAACAGCTAGCCTGGCTTTGTCCAAAGCTAAAATATGCATCTAGCAACACCTCAAAATTTAGAAAAATATTCTATCTTTGCTTTGGCAAGAGTTAGATGACAAGGACACCACTCTCATGTCTCTGGTTGTCATCGTCTTGAGACACTAAGAAATAGTTTAGCGTGTAGCCTAGCCCAAAATAACAAACTCTTGTTTTTGTATTTCTCTCTATGCACACAATAAACAAATGAGATATAACATGTTAATTAATGATCCTTTAGAGAACAACTTCAGCCTTGAACAACTTCACTGTTTTGGTTGAAGCTGGTGAGCTAAAGAGCCAGATATTTCCCTCAGGAGTCGGTAGAGACCAAAACAGAGATCAAAGAGGGTGAACACGAAGCAACTGTTTACTGTATTCATCTAAAAGGGTGTCACTGATATGTTCGTGACTTGTTTACGCTGCCCCCAAGTGGCCCAAAAATATAAATGCCAGGTGTTAAAGGTGTTTTAGGTGTATGGTTCCCTCTTCTTTCAGTCTTAATGCTAAGCTAGGCTAACCACGTCCTGACTCCCGCTCTCTACTTATTGCACAGACATGAGAAGGATATCAAACTTCTCCTTTCACTCTCGAAAAGAAAGCGCCTACATCCCAAAATGTTGAACTATTTCAGCATTTCATCTTTGACCAATTGCCATCAACTTCTTAAACTTCTGTTTTATGGTCACTCATAAATAATTTGTACTTACACAAGACTGAAAGTGCTACACAGGTCACAAGCAGCAACAAGCAGAGCGTTGAGAGACCGGCCACTGGACAGATTTGGAGACAGGTCACTTTTTTACTGGTGCCAAGGCAATCTGAAGCTAAAAAAAAGACATTTATTATTATTAATATTATTATTGGTAGTAGTGGTGGTAGTATTCGGAGTATAATTTACTGTATATTACCAATGTGCTGAGTTAATCTCTTGCTGAAAAGTTCTATCACATACATAGATTGGTTATCTGTTTTTACACTACAATCTTCTTATCAAGTCAATGTTGTGTGTAATTGAGATTTTAAAGTCTTATTTATTTAAAACAAATGAATAAAATCTGCCAGTGCAGTAAAATCTTTACTTGTTTCCAATGCAGATTGAATTATTCTTGATTATTGTTCAGTGATGTGCAAAGTTTGTTCAAGATACAGACAGTTATTTGTAGAAACAAATAAATGTAAAAACAAATTGAACAATTTTACTGTACATTAAATTTTTTCTTAAGGGATTCAATTATTGGTCAAAAGTACTAATATAAGATGGAAAGTGTTGCTGAGAGCTGTCATAAGTATGCGCAAGTTAGTTTAAATCCAAATTTCAAAGGGTAATTGTTTACACTTTACTTTATTTAGCATTTATAGACATTATACAAACATTGTAAAAGTGGTTTATAACACACCATAATGTATGAAGACATATTTTATATTATACTTATATATATTATAATTCATTATATGTTTACACAGCCGCATTCCACTTACAAGAGTTATAGTTGTCAAATTAATTAATGTATTAAATGTTTATAAACTGCTTATAATGCTAAGTAGTAAGTATAGTGTTGCCTGTGGTTGGTATACGTACATATTTCCTGTTCCTGCTTGTCTGACGTCACTGAGATTGAGCCGGAGGTTGGATTATTAATCCAGGGCAGCCACTGATGACTGACCATTTTACCTGCACAGTATCAGAGCCTTTAGAGACGCAGAGCAACAAAAAAAGGATGCATTGTGTCAAAGTAACATTTGGATCAGAGTTGTGGAGGTTTTGTTCATCTGAACTATAAAGACACATCAGAAAACATAAATGCCGTACTTGTTCTAAATCAACCCACACATCTTCTGACAGACATTAAAACATAGACAGATTTGAAAACCCCCGTCTTTTAAAGGTACGAAAAGGTGTTTCTGTGGTTTTCCTGTTATGTCTCATCAGAGTGTGGCTTTAGCTCTGTCTATGCTGCTGTTTGATTTATCTTTACACTATATACACATAGTTCTGATTTATATTTACACAGTGGTAGAAACACTAAAAATGTATTTATGAGCTACAACATTAAAATGCAGCTGACATGTTAATGGTGCACTGTGATATTACAATAATAATAATCCTATTTAATGTAATCCATTGCATAAAGCCTAACAATACAACCAGTGGTGGAACGTAACTAAACACATTAGCTGTACTTAAGTACAATTAGGTACTATTAGGAAGTATTGTCCTTATACTCTCTTACATTTATGTAACAGCTTTATTAGTTACTAGATCAAGATAATTTGAAGATTTACATACAGTTCATACAGTGTGTGTTTTCCACTCACATGACCAGCTTAAAATATATGATGCATTGTTGAAGTAAACCTTGATTCATTACAAATAATGATCCAGTGCAGTGGGCAAGTGTACCACTCAGGGGCTAATCTGATGCGATTGCTTGATGAGTAGCTTATTGCTACTATGCTTAAGAAAGAGATCCAAATACTTCCTCCACCACTGCATTTACAGCACAGATAGAAACGATATCAGTTTAAATTAACTTACCTGAGTTAATGTCACTGCCAGACTGATGTCTGTAACATACACAGTATGTCCTGTCCTGAGTGACGTCTGATAGAAGCAGCAGAAGTGACTTTGTGAACAGTCTTTGTGAAGCTACAGCTCATTTATAGCCTTCTCACCCTTTGTTCCTTTACTTCTAATAGGTGGAGATACTCTAAATAATGGCCAGGTCTGTTTGATTTTACCTTATCTCTCACTCAACAATACACTGAGGGTCCAGCTGCATGTCATTGTTTGGCTTTTAAACAATTCACTGAGTTTTGTACTTATAAAATTAATGATTTATAAAATTAATGATTTCTTTGTTTTCTTTGAGTTTAAATGTTTTGATACATTTAAGAATAAAAAGTGACAAACAAATGATTCATTTATTGAATCAGCAATCATTTTCTTTTGCCTAATTTGAACCAGTAGGTGGCAATGTGTCCTTTTTGCACAATACAGTATGCTGCTGCTGCTTTAAAGCGACACCTAGCCTGAGTATGTGGATACGCCACCTCTCCATTTACTTGTGTGTACTTTGTCCAGGGCTGTTTTTAGGTCTGTTAGTTCCAATGAAGTGAAACTGTGTAACAATGATAGTAAAGTAGGAAAAAAAAACATGTTTCTTCTCGTCATTGTGATTTGTTTTTCATCTTTAAAGGTCTCAAATAAAACTATCCAAATTAAACAAAAATAAAAAAACATTCATTGGTTGAACTGGTCACGTATCACACATATACAGCGTGGGTCACATGAAGACACTGCTTCGTTTCGAGGGGCCCAACAGCCAATAGTGTTTCCAACAGTTTGTGTTTCACTCCACATCTGGTGGGGCCACTGAAACCAGAGTGGAGGCTGTTATAGTAGCAGATTAATGCCCATGGTTTTGGGATTAAATGTTTAAATACCACATTTGGATGTAAAGTTTGGCCATGCAGTGTATGCATATCTTAAGAATCTCATTTGACACATATTTAACTTCAGGGGTGAAAATAAATTCCCATGAGCACTAGTGGTTTTCATTTTATTCATCTAAAAGCCCCTTCCTGAATGTTTATTGCATTTGATGGTGTTTTGATGATGCAGTAAAACGTCAAATATGCTGCTATCAGCAGGACATCTAGTAACAACAGTCTGTGCAACAGAGGCTGAAAGATAAGAAAGACAATGCTCTTTCTTTGCTGGGAGAATCTCCCCTGAGAAACTGCAAGAATCTGCTCTAAACAAACATGCAGCAACTGATATGTGTGAGAAAGGAAATGCAGACCAGCATTAGCTTAACAGCCTTTGTCTCCTTTCTGTGAAACACACATACTGTAGTTTTAAACCAAGTGTCAACTAATGTAATAGTTCATGGCTACTTTGGCCCCTTTTTCTCTAAAATACACTGAGCTGTGTGTCCTCTGTGTGTTAGATATCAACATCAAATGTACCATGTGTGATCAGTTTTTTTTTTATGTTGCCCTTATCTGGTAATTATTGGCCTACATTTCCCATAAAAAAGCACACAAAAATGGAAAAATTTAAACTTTCCGTTGAGCTTTCAGCTGTGCATCATTGTACTCACTGTAAAGCTTTGTCCTGGCACACACAGGAAAAAAACACGTGGTCAACTAGATACTGGAGGGCATTGGGTGGTGCAGGTGTGAAAAAGGAAATCATGGTTTAACTTTGAATTGACCTGCCATGTGTGTGTGTGTGTGTGTGTTTACAACTTATAGCAGTGCATACAGAGGACACACAGAGATGGTGTTAGCGAGACTATGTGTTAATGATCCATCCTCTTCTTATCTTCAGGATCATGAACCAACAACAATACAGGGCTTTTATCACAGCTGATTATCCTTTAAATTCTATACCTGTGAGGACTCTCTTTGATGTAGAGTAATCGCTAACCTCTAACCTAAACCAAACTCTAACCTTAACCTTGAAACCAAGTCTTAACCCCCAAACTCATACCAAACATCCCTTCGAGGAAGTGAGGACTGACAAACATGTCATTTTCTCACTCTCAAAATCTGAAACTCAAGTTGGTCCTTACAAAGATGGCACACATATACTTAGACACACAGTAATACCAAGAACGACACCATCCGTTTCTTAGAAATGTCACACTGTCATCTCAGGAAAACACATTCCATAATGCATTTTGTTTTGGGTTTTTTTGTATGCACTTGTAACTCACCATGTGTGCAGCTGCTTGCAGCTTTGCATGGTTTAGTTTCGCTTTGCAAATGCTCTACACGTCTGGTGTTGTATGTGTGAAAATACTGAATTTGTCTGGAAAGAATCTATGCAATTATACATGTACCAAATCAGGCTGATACACACATTTGTGGATAAGATATTTAAAAGAGTAAATGTACAAAACTAAAAAGAGATTTCAAAACATTTTCAGCATTAAAGTCTCTTCTATACTGATTTTAGTGCTGTGTAGTTAGTATCAGCTTACCAAACGTGCTGTATCAGCGTCACATACTGTACATTGTAAAATCAACACTATACACACAAAATAATTCAAACTTTATTTACTGAAAATTCACAATATCATACATTTACATATACAGGTGTTTCACTGAGGTTTGCCAAATGTGTGCCTTTGTACAGTAAATATAAAGCCAGAAAGTTTTAGGATATTGGTCTGCACAGGGCTCTGACCTTAACTCCATCCTACACCTTTAGGAGGAACTGGAAAACCAACTTGCTGATTGTTGGATTAACAGCAAAATCTGGAGGAAAGACTTCTCAGGAGAGTCGAGACTGTCAATCGATCACATTAGGGTCATGTTAGAGTGTCCACATCCTTTCGGTCATGCAGTGTACCGAGTATCTATTGATTTCTGTGGGTCAAAGAATGTGACACCAAACATTAAATAAGATCACATCTTAAGGCTTATGTAACTTCTCCAATTTCTTTCCTCTTCATAAGATTGCTACACTGTTTATCTGCAGCCTACACAAGAAAAAATATGTCGCTGTCATATATCTGCACTGGATGTATTCATAGTATATAGTGTATTACTTAGAGTTAAATGGCGAGATTGACACCACTCTCCTATCTGTCATTTAAACATGAAGCTACAGTCAGGGGAAACAGGGGCTCTGCATGGAGGTAACTAAATCCACAATCCAAAGTGTAAAAATAAAGTTTGTTTAAGATATGTTGTTGTAAATATATATACTGTTGATATATGTTAATGATTGAGCTGTAGAGGTGCTGATAGGCACATTTTGTTTCCTTCCAACAGAGTCAGCCATCTGTTTCCCCTCTCTTTCCAGTCTTTGTGCTAAGCTAACCCACAGCGTGAGCGTGGAATCAATGTTCTCATCTAACTCTCTGCCAGAAAGTGAATAAGCATCTTTCCTAAAATATCCAAAACTATTCCTTTAATACACAATGTAACACATATAGAAAACATATAAAAGTAAAACACTGTTTACAGACATGGTTGCTGTCCTCATTTCATAACTTCATAACTTACTCACCTTTAAATTTCCCAGTAAACTGGATTATTAAATATTTCATATATATATTTTTACAGCAGTTTCTGGGGCATATTCTCATAAATAAAATGCCTGTCTAACACGACTCATTTTTGGACATTGATTCTCCAAACCATCAGATAAATCAGTAAGGGGAGGAGGCTCACAGGGATGAGAGTGAGGGCGATCACCACATTCTGAGGAGCATCCACAAGCAGAGGCTCCTCCCAAGAACAGTTCTGGAAGTACTGAGTGTGGATGTCGATGAAGAAGTCTTGAATGCTGGGGTTTGGGTAATAGCAGCCGAACACACCAGACAACATCTCCAAGCATAGCGTCATGTTGTTGTATGGTCTGTGAAAGGTAGAGACCCAGTGTATGAATGATGAACACATGATACATCATTGTTTTACGACTTTACAACAATTAATAGCTAAACTTTATCTGGTCCAGCTAATATGCTGTGAAAGATCTGCAGCTTGTCTCTGTTTTATAACATGGCAAATCGAATATCTTTAGGTTTTGGTTGAATTGATTAGACAAAACAAGCAATGTGAAGAGGTCACCTTGTGGCTCTGGGAAGTTGTGGTAGACATTTTTTAAATCTTTCCTGTGTTTTGGAAATTTTAATGTTGCTGTGTTTTGGGTTTTGTCTGATATTTTAGCCAAATTTGGTGTGAAAGTAGTCGTGTAAATCACCAGGGACCAAATATGAACCTGGTCCCAGAATCAAAACTTCATGGGACTGTATGTATAAATAAATTTTAAAGCTGAGTTTTAAGAGACTTCTTTAACAAAGAGGAGATAGTTTACATTATATTTTAAAATGAAGACTTATTTTCATAATATGTTTTTGTGAAACTGGATACATCACTTTTGAAATGAAAACTCTTCAGTTGGACCAAGAAGCACTTGAAAAATGTGGCACCTACCTAAAACTGAGACCTTTGTGGTCAAACTATTTCCTGTTTGAAAATAAGTTTTTACTCTGCAGCGGGAGAGGCACAAACTCAGGGTGCTTGATGATGGATATTTCCTGGTGCCTCTCACAATAATTATGGACCTTTACACGTACTTTTTACATCACTATTTACAGCGTACCATTGCTTAAATGATACTTCTCCTACTTGAGACTACAGCTGCAGCTCTCAGTCTCAAGCCTATTGGTTCCTACTGAGGAAATCCTTAAAAATAGATCGCAAATATTCACTTCATTTGTTAAAAGGCTGAGTAATTTCCTAAGACAACTTAGCAAAGTAAATTTTACTACAATAGGAGGAAACGTGTATTTGTTGGGAACTATTTTCAGCTGTGGATTTTTAAATATCTATATTATCTATATATATATAGAACATATGTGTTTTTAAAATGACCCTTAGACGTAGTGTGATGTTGTTGTAGGGTTGCAGGGTTCAGGTTATGGCTGCGTGTACAAAGTGTCTGAGAAACAGCGATGTTCACATCCTGTCTCCGACCAGTCAACAATGGTTTCTTTTCACCATGCGGGCAGTGGCCCTGTGGCAACAAGCCTGGACCCCTTAAGTCCCCCCATAAGGTGGAAGGAGGAAAGTTTTATGATTTTGCGACATCACAACTAGTGTGATGTGGAAACTTGAGGCCACCATGGACACTTTCAGTGAGCAAGAAGGAGTACATGTGCTTTTAAGTTTATACAAACCCATACCAAACAGAAAGATGAATATGTTTATTTCTTAAAACATGTCTTGTTTTGTTAAACTCAGTCAAAGATTCAAGGATCAGCTTTATATATATGGCCCAAAAATTTGGATTCCATTCACAGACCATCTGAAGGTTATTGAAACGCTCAGATTTTAGATCATACTTATTTAGACTGGCTTTAGAAGATTTTCTTATTTTTTTTCTCTATTATAATTAATATTTTAATATTATCACCATTATTATATATTTTTTTGTATCTGTTTGAATTTTTTTATTACGATTTTGTTTTAAAAAGTGCTAAAGGAAAAGCTATTGTTATTATTATGATTAATGAATTTCCTCGAATGAGTGAAACAGCGCCCCCCTGTGTTGTAGCAGCTTGTGAGCGCTAGTCTGTGTGGTCAACAGGGGTACTGCATGTTACAGTCGAGGCAATCAGTGAAGGAAGAAAAGCCAGGTGAAGTTGATTTAAAAGATTATCTGAAACAGCCACATGCGTCTCTGTCATGCCACTGTGAAACTGTAAACGGACACTGGAAGAAGATTTGTGAAGCAAGCAGTCCTACTTTAGCCCCACTGCAAATAATAGAAAGTTAGAAGCATTAAGTTTGATGAAACACCTGCAAAGTTCGCTAGGTGTTCAAGCAGCGGGATACTAATTTGTATTACATGGATGTTGACCAGCTCGCCTCCATGACAGAAAAGAAAAATGGCCTCTGATGTCAAATAACGTGAGTCAAATACAACTTCTGTCTGTTTCCTGTCTTTCCTGATATTTAAATGTCCCGCCGTCGCTCCTGGTGTGTTGCTGTTATAGAGGTTTTATTTGTACTGCATCTTGTCTACCTGCTCACTGAAGCTGCTGTCTGTTAGTTAGAGACCAGTGGTTCTCAAAGTTTTTTTTTAGCCCAAATAAACATCTAAAAGCAAAAATCGTATCAGATGGGTGGAGAAAATCTTACTAAATGGGAGTCTCTGGTCTGATTTTTGTCAGTTTAGTTGTCCTTAACATGGGACAAAGTCCTTAGCTGGGCTTTGGAAAACGTGTATGACTGTGTGATTTAATAAGCTTGTGCTGTTGTCTGCTAGTTGTACTTTGGGTGAACATTTTCTGCTACTTTATACTTCTGCTCCACCACAGTTCAGAGGCAAAAATTATACTTTTTACTCCACAACATTTGTGTGAACGACGTTTTGCACCTCCTTACTGTCATGAAAGAGTATTGGACAAATTGAGATAAATGCCTTAATTCTGTCTGGAACTCACTTTTACATTTGTGAAAATGCTAAAAAAAAAAAAAAAAAAAAGTGAGATTACACTACTTTTTTCACACCAAGACCACAAGAAAACCACAGTAATGTTACCTTGACTCATCAAATCTGGATTGGATTAACACAGAGAGGTTAGAGATTCACACTTTCAGGGTTGTGAAATCTTTTATTTAGGGCCTATTTGTAAAAACAAATACAGAAAGCAGTTATGTGACTTCCTTTTTAAACATTATTTTCTTGATTCAGTGACCCATCATTTTATAAACATATTGTAAAATGCCCTAAGTGGCCTCCAAAGTTTTAGTTTTGTCAGACCAAGAGTCCAAACCCCAAGCTATTTATTTTACTTTATATGACAAAGAAAATAAGACACATCCTCACATAATGAGGAATAAAACCAAGGAACGTTCGTCATTTTTTGCTTGAAAAATTAAAATAATTGCCAACTCATTTTCTGTTGATCGACTGATTGTTGCACTGAACATGACCCTGCTGGCCCATTTACATGAAGGTGGCTCTTTGTATATCCTGTGTGGGTAAGGAGAAGCACATGTTGATAGCGGATGTAAATAAGTCTGAAATGTCGTCATGTCTTTTAACAACAATAGGGGGGGGATGACACAGCAGGCTATTTTACACTTTATTTAGATGACCTATTACACATGGTGAACGTTAACAAGGGCTGCTAGATAATGGCACCACTGGGATCACGATTATTCAACAGGATTTATAGGCCTGACCAGAATACCTCGAAGCTTCTATGGTAATTGAAGTCAGAGTGCGGGACTTTTACATATAAATGAATATGTTACATTCAAGCCAAATGAGTTGGCACAATGCTGATTAAGTCTAAGTTAATTAAGCTTAACTTTAATATGATTGTAATGTGCACTGGCCTGCCTGGATCTGAGTGAGTTTGGGGTTTATAGGGAGGGGAGAACGTGCATCGCTGTAAAGGAAAGGGGCGCGCTGGATTTGCAACAAAAGAAAAAAAACAAGAGTTTTATTGCTAACCTGAAAATGGCACAATAATCTTTTTATCTTGTTTCAAAGTCATAATTGAAAATAAATTTGATTAATCGCCCTAGCGAATTTTTCTTGGCCGCAGTCTGGTCCAGGTGGTACAAATGATTCACTCTTTAACCTTCAATCAAAAGTAATGAATATTTCTTATTTGTACAGTTAAACATAAATGAAGGCACTGACAAGTGATTAATATATTGATTTATTATGATACCACAGCTTGTCTCTGGGTTCCCATTTCTATGTTCCCTTTTTTTGTTTTAAGAGAGAAACCAATTTATTTCTTTATAATACTGAAAATGTTTTGGTCTTTTGTTTTGTCGACTTGAATCAGGATAGAAATTACTACCAGCTGTAGCTGTTTTAGTTATGACACATTTTAAAACAGAGAAAACAAACAGGAGATGTCTCTTTTTTTTTTAAATAAGATGTGTCACAGGTAATTACTAATTTCTCAATACTAACAGTACTACTATTAATACTACGACTAGTTGTTATAATAATGATAATAATAAGCACTTAATATAAACATGTGTAGCCCTATTTTAAAATTGTACTTACAAAATGTTTGAAAGCATGACCTTAAAATCAAAAGTAGAGATATAGAAAACAAATAATAATATTTTTTTTAAATGGGGTTTTTAGAAATATGAAAATAACAAACTGACTTAATTATGTAGCTGCCTTACCTGATGATATTTTCCATTACACACCAGTTTTCGGTGATTGACAGCATTGCCATGTGAAAAACTGCCCCACAAAGTCCGTGACTGTATTCTACCAATAAGTCCTGTTTGCATTGTCTGCCTGGGAACTCAGTTTCCTGCTCCTGAAAATTCTCTGCAAAGGAAGGAAAATAAATACTTTTAACATACATGAACTAACAGGGACACCCACACACGCACATCAAACAACACCCAAGATTATATTGTTACATTATTCAGAGTGTCTTGCTTTGTATAATGGAGGATAGATTTCCTGTCAAATGCTGCTTTATTCAATGTACAGGTTCTTTGAATCTACTCCGTAGTGCATGTTTTGGTTATTCGACTTTCTTGCTTAAAAGTGAAACTGTATTGTTGATAGTTTACCACACAGTCTTACGGTGTTTCAGCTGGAAGCAGTGACGTAAAGGAAATTTAAAAGCACTGACAAGGTCGAGAGTTTCCTTCCCTCATGCAGAATAAGTAGAATTTAACTCACCGTCATCCTCTGTGATAAGAGTAGATGTTTGGTTGTTCTGCAGTTCGTTCATCGTGTCTTTGTCCAAACTGGATGTCGTGTTGCTGAATTTCATTGTACCTGCAGGCAGAAATTTTGAGCAATAGTCTCCCTCTTTGGTGAACTAAAACGAAATAATTTTGTTAATTGTTTGTGTTTTTTAAGCAAAAAGTCCAAATGCTCTTTTGTCACAGCATCTTAAATTGCTTTTCTTAGTCAAATATGATATAGTAAGATAGATAGATCATTAACTGAGAAAACAATCGGCAGATTAATTGACAGTGAAAGAAATGAATCATTAGTTGCTAATCTTACATAGGAAATGGAAAAACAAGACGTCTTACTGTTGCCAGCGGAGGGCTCGCTGAATGTTTGGTTCCCCTCAGCTTTGCTCAGCTGTACCTCTGTCATGTTGGCTGCTTGTGATCCCGCAACACCTGCGCAGATTCAACAAAGCTATTTAACATCACATGAACAATTCCAGCACTTTTTAAAAGACTCAGTCAGGGTCAGCCTTTTTGTTTGCTGACACTACAAATAAAATGCCCTCCACCTTTTTCCTTCATCAGTCCCACACACAGGAAAGATTATGGACACATGTGTGTGTGAAATGTGTGTTTGTGTGAAATGAGATACATACCGAGCGTAAGAAAAGCGAAGAGCAGGTACAGGATCATGGTGGAGAGCGACGAGGGGATCAGCAGTAACCCTTGAGGCCGGTCAGTGACCTGAGCAGCTGAGTAGGTTACAGACGAAGCCCAGCCCTCTTTGTCTAAGCACTGCTGAGTGTATTTGAACATGCATGTCTGAGTGTGTCATGTTCCGGTGAGAGGAAGAACAGCGAATGAAGGGAGATAACGATCTGATCATGAATTAAAGGTGCCTTGTGAAGTTTTGAAGTAAGAGAAGAGAAGAGAGGAGGAATAAATACAAACGGACGTGTTATGTGAAATAAAATTTTACTTTTAGGCCCTTTTTTTTTTTTTTTAAATGACCACTCATTAGTTTGTGTTACTGTATCACGGGAATACTTTTCAGTCATCATTAAATGCCATTTCTCTGGAACTCAAAGCAAAATATTGTTACCTTATAATCTCTAATTACTGTAACCTGTCTAATGAGGTTAAAGACGCTATAAACCTTTGAGGTGAACTGGTGAGTCTGTGGTTTAATCACTACAAGTGAAACCTTTCACTTATTTTTTTCCAATTGCTTCTATAAAAATACTGATTAATACAAGTTTAATTAATTATCCACATGTTTCTTGAGTGTCTCTTTTGCAATCATGTGACGTAGTGATGTATTATCAGATGTTTTGGTTCACGTGTCTACCAAGCATGCTGTTTTAACTTATCTTAGTTTTTTTTTTTAAACTATACATATTGTGTTTTAAAGTGTCTTCAGAAGGAACTATTGGGTTTGGGGCTAAGAACCACAGTAGAGCAGTTAGAAAGTGAGAGAAAGAACTGCAGGTTTCAGATGATTTCATCTGTAAGGAGTAAATGAGGGGAAGTGCTAGTATGTCCTCACGTACTCCTGCGGGTCTACTGAGATAAACACAGGATACAACAGTGACATATCTCCTAATTGGAGTGGGGTGTGTCACAGCCCAGATCTTGGAGTGTAACAAAAACAGGAGACACACGGGTAAACTAATTAACCAATGAGTAGGGAGTATCTGTAAAGTCAGTAGTGTTGGGAGTGGATGGGTGAAAATGTGCTGTATGGATGTTGTGCTGTAAAAACAAAGACAAGAAACCAAATACAACCAAGACTTACTGCCGCTCTGGCATATATGCATGGGGCACACTGGGCCCAGATGTGCGAATCAGGTCTGCAGCCCTGGAGACAGAAAGCATATGAACCCTGCAGAGGGGCCGTCACAGATGGTCATGACGTTTGCGGGGAAAAGCCGGCAACACGGCCCTGTTTCCTGTTCTTCCTCAGATAGTCGGTGAAAACGCACTTAAGGGATTTCCTCTTTCATTTAGCAGCAGGGATGGTGGTGCGGCATGAAAGATATGCAGCATATCAGTTGGCTGACAGAAAGCTCTTAACATGTTTGCAAAGGTGCGTGTGGCAGCAATAATGATTCAGACACACAATGCTCTCTGAAACAACCAGCAAGCTTTCTGGGTTTTGCGCGAAATGTTTAAATTGGCACAGATGTGATGTAAAAAGTTAAAAATACAGAAGGGTGCCTTTGCCTCTAACACAACAACTACTACATTTAAAAAAAACAACAACTTCCTGTGCTTTGTGGTTTTAAATGTGCAGGATGTCAGAGCTTTTTATAATGGCTTCTGTCTACTCCTCAGCTCGTGGAGACAGGAAACTGTACTGGCTTTAGGGGGTTTTTCTGCATGTTGAAAGACGTTCAGGGACATTTTTGGGATTCAGAAAAGGCAAATAAAGGATGTGTAGTTACCACATAATGTCACAGCCATGATGCTGTCTACTACACTGCCTGCTGTTTAATGTATGAACGAGATCTAGTAGATTGTAGGATAATATGTGCAGACATGGTGCAGATTTAAGAAACTGAAATATAAGAGTGCCATGAGTTCTGCATTTGGCTTTCAGTTTAGCATTTCTAAGATTGTGACGTTTAAAACTGTACATTGACTTTGTTTCTTGGAGCTGTGAAATAATTTGTATTTTATGACCCATTGTTTAAGAAATCAGGACAAACACCGTTTTTGTATGAGGTTTTCCTTCAAATATAGTACGCTTTATTAATCAGTGTATATTGATGTACTTTCACCATGCATCTTCAAATGTAACTGAATCCAATAATCACATTTCAAGTTACAATCAGATTTCTTTTTATCATTTAACACCTTTTTTTTAGAAAAACATTTCCTCCACTGGTCTTGTTAGAGAGAGACCACAGGAGCGCTGACAGTCCTGTGGACAGAATGACTCATAACACACAGGTGATTATACAAAAACAACAATATAGCACATCAAACTACCCATAACATGCCCACACATCAAATGAAATACTACAGACTACTCCTCTGCAAATGTAAATGTGCCATACTGAAAAGGAAACCTTTTAAATGGACTGTAAGCATTGAAACTGGAGGAAATAGGAAAATACAGTGTGACTGAAATATAAAATATGACTGAATATAAATTGTTGTTCATATCACAGCTCCGTTTTATAATATTATTAAAACTCAAATTGCTAGGGTTGGTATGGAGCATCAGTTCTTGATTGGTGCTGACTGAAATATGTCCGTAGCACTGAAATGTCAAACCTGTCAATTTCAGAAAGTCGCCAATAAATGTCTGATCAAATTCATAATTTACCTCCTTTTTTTTTTAAGAAAAAAAAAAGCCAATTTAAGACTTATTCAGGCAAAGTTCTCTTTTTTTTTTTTTTTTTTTTTTTTTATCAGTACTGAAATTTGTCGTATTACAAATTTCTGATGATACCCTGTCCTAACAATTACTAAGCGTTTCAGACTTTCATAATACAGATGGTTGAATTAACTTCCTCAAAGTACTTCTCCAAACTAAGGCCGCTGTCTGCCGCTCAGCCGTTTTATCTAGGCTTGACAGGTTTGCGGTGTTGCATCCACCAGCTCAGTATAAGTGCAGAGCAGTTCTGCATTTCAACACATTTTGAGTTGTTAATTGATATTATGTGTTGACGACCTGCAAGCCCACAACAATGATATCAATGTTTGACTTGTGCTGGTGCTGAAATGATCACTGAAACTGGTTTTAATTCGCCCTCCAGTGGTTAAAATACACAGCTGGTCATTGTTCATTTTGTTCTAAATATTGTTGTTGGCCACTCCACTTGATCTGAAACCATTTTTTCACCCACCTTCCCTCCCCCCCCTCTTCACACATTTCAGCTTCTCTTTTTTTTAGAATTACACAGACATACAGTAACATGGTGAAACTCGCTGCAAAGTTGCTTTCTAACGAAGATGCAGCGTGTAAAACCTGCGTGTCTTACTCTATGGTGTTTCAGTTGCCACACTTAATGCTGAAAGAGGTGCCAGGTGTCGTGACGGAAAACTGCACCTGAAAGAAAGTTTGGGGATTTCTTTAAATTGCAGAATAAAATAAAACATAATTTGAAAATAATTGTATTTATAACTGTTTCAGCTAAAATGATCTAAACATGAGCCTTGACTTTTTTTTAGTTTTTCAAATTTCCATCAGCAGACTGCGCCACAGTTATTTTTATATTTCTCTATATGAAAGACATACATTCATAATTAAACACTACTTACTTTTTTTGAGCCTCACACTTTGCTTTATTTAAACAACGTTAATGGTTTCTTTTTCTGTATTTAGCTGTACATTACAGTGTTAAATAACCCCAAAGAGTTAAACCTGCCGGTTAAACCTGCTATTTTAAAGTTGCATAACAACAAAACAGAGGGTGAAACGGCAAAAGTATGATATAAAACGCATGGCACATGATGCAAATTTAAACTATCTGTAGAAATATTTGTAGCAAATTAAAATGTAACCCTTCATAAATATTAGAGCTTATACTCTATTGAAATTTGGAAGAGAATTGCTATGGGAATTTTTTGAATGGCAAAGCCATTTAGGTTTGCCATAAATTCTTAAAATATTTTAACAAATAATTACATCAACAACTCTTTGATGTTGTCAAAAAAGAAGATTATAGGCATCTTAAAAGTAAACTTTATGGCAGAACTGTTGTATTGGTTTTATTAGATTGTACAGGTGTACCTAATGTGTTTATTGCTCAATTCATAAATAAAGCAATAAGTAACATTTACAGAGGAATATACAATAAATAAAACACAAGGAAATACAAAAGAACAACAAAATAATGAGAAATTGACGAACCAGCATCCATCTCACAAACAAACACAAAGAGAGTGACTGATTGTGGACATGAGAAAAGAGAGAGGTTTTCAGTCTGCTTTTGAATATGTTGTGACAAGAACTAAAAGCACCTTCACTAAATCTGAATCTTACACTCGGTACGGATAGAAAACCACCTCCTGATGACCGAAGTGGTCTGATAGCTTTGAGTGTAGTACGTGAGCAAGCCCGAAATTTTCTCGGGTGTCAATAAATACTTTAAAAGCAGAATTAGATAAGTAGATTCTGTGTTGTACTTTAGAGCCGAGGAATTCAGAGTAGTATACTCATCTCTGCACAGGTTAATTAAAAACAACATATGTTTTATTATGTACCTTTTTCAGTTAGACCTGAAGCAGTTATTGGTTATTATATTTGATCATTAATTCAATCGCTTTAATTATTTTTCAAGCAAAAATGCCTCCAAATTCTCTTGATCTAGCTTTTCTTTTTCTAGTGAAATATACTGAAAGTATTTCTTTGCACTGACAATTGAACAGGCTTTAGGCTTTCAGAAATTTTTCTCTTTTATAGGCCAAACCTTTTAATTGTCCTACGTAATGTGATAATGCAATATCAAATATTCTGCAACTTATTCTGTATAAGGAAACAGGTTAATATTGACAGAATTACACAAAAAGGCTAACGAGAAGATGGCATTAACAACTGAATAAACTATAACTAAATAGTATTTAGGTAACGGCTTTCAGTTTTTAAATGTGTTTTCACACGTGTATAAAAGATAAGATTAATTTTGCTAGTTCGAGCTCTGAAACTTTGATGCTTTTTTGTGTTTTATCCTGGAATTTTCAGTTGTTCTTATTAATGGCATATTAGTCATTTATAAAACCTCAATAAATTATTTGTTGTCCTGTGGGGAAAAAAACATTTTATACAACACAGAAACCCTTTATTATTCTTATTAGGCATGGCTAAAGATCTTAATGTCAACACAAGTAAAGAAAATGTAGTGCATTATATTGTTTTTATATAAAGCTTAGAGGAGCAATTTGCAAATCAAATGCATTACAAGTTGTGGTTTTATTTTCAAAGTAGTGTAAATAGTGTAAAATAATAAAAGCTCAATGTGAGTGGGAGGTGAATCATTTTTAGAAAAAAGTAACCATCCTGCCAACGAGCCAATCACTAATCAACCTGAATGTTGTGTGCACAGGTTGAATAGTAGGTCACCAGTTTCACATCAGTTAACGAGAACCACACAAGCAACAAACAAGCAAGGAGGGTAGAAATCAGGGGTTAAGAAAAGCCACACGTGGATCAAGGATTGTCAACATCTCCACCCAGCCGTGAAATGCTCAAGCGTTCCCAGAAGCAAAAACAATTCTCGACCTATTGTACATTTTTCACATGGTCTGGTGCCAACGCCTGAAACAAAGATTGTGGTTTGGTGCTCATCGTCATTAGCATCTCTGCAGTCATCAGACTATATGTTTGCAGTGTGAGCCATCGCAGCTGGGTTTATAGGCCTTAGGGCTAATTCAAACCCACGCTTTTTACCGCCCTGCACACATGCACAGACTCGAAGCAGGAAAAAATAATAATTAAGGATATTGCACTGTCCGGCGCTTTTGCTACAGTCAAACGCAACAGGGTGGCACTGTGGTGCAGTGGTCATCGTTGTGCCCTCAGGAGGTCCTGGGTTCGAACTGTGGAGTTTGCATGTTCTCCCTGTGCCTGCGTGGGTTTTCTGCCACAGTTCAAAGGCATGTAGGTTAGCTTAATCAGCAACTCTTAATAGACCTGCAGGCGTGAAAGTGAGCATGAAGGGTTGTTTTGGCTTGATGTGTCAGCTCTGTTTGACCACACCTCTCGCTCAGTGTCAGCTGGGATTAGCTCCAGCTCAAGGGGTTGTGTCTTGCCCGGGTCTCTCACACCAAAAGGCAAGCAACTTATCGATGCGCCATCACCACCCAATAATGATGATGATACTATCTTGTATTATTTATCATTTAATATTTGTTTGCTATACACAGTTTTTATGCATTATGTTTTTGGATTGCAGGTGACTTTGTCTGTCCCATTCTCTTGAATGCGATATCTCAAGAACCACTTGAGGGAATTTCTTCAGGTTTGGCACCAGTGTCCACTTGGACTCGAGGATGAAGTGATTTTAGAATTGGGTATACAGAGGTCAAAGGTCACTGTGACCTCACATCTGTCCCATTTTCGTGAACGCAATATCAAGAACGACTAGAAGGATTTTTGTTCAAATTTATGTCCACTTGGACATAGAATTTGTTGGTGACCTCAAAAAACCCACATTTTTGAACGTAAGACTTAATGCACACCGATGTTTAATGGGGTACAACGATGAAGTGATGACATGTTTTACTCAGGAACAGAAGGAGAGATTGTGACAATATTTCCCAGCTGGTTGGACACTATTGATTCAAAATAGGTTTATAGCTGTAGTTTTAAGAATTTGGGTGATTGCAGATTTCTCACATGTGTTGACTGAGAGAACAAAATGAGAAAACAATAACTAGCACAGTATGGGCTCCATCTCATCTATCATCTACCTTTCACTCCCAAACTCTGGAACTTCTGAATTGATGCAAACAGCGTATTGGAGCGTGCCATCGATATACTGAATAAGAACTTCCATTTATCCAAATAAAACACTTTTTTTCCCCCCTCCTTCCAAACAAAGTATTCACTACATATATTACAGTAGTCTGGACAAACATGGATGTCGGCTGCATCTCGACTGGAAGTTATAACTTAAAGCTAGTTTGCAATGCCTGTCCATAGACTGGCCTCCACAATGCACAAACACAAACGATCATACAATAAAATGACCATATATGATCATCAGCTTGACTTCTGCAAACCCGGCTTTCTCCAGGTTACTGTATGCTTTTGACAATCTCCAGATATCTTATATTAAGTTAAAGTTAATTCTAAACTCCAAAAAAACTCAATTCCACAGAGTGCCACTACTTTTACACCAATGCATGCCGTGTTTAATTAGATTATTTACTTAAGACGGCTACAAATACTCACCACTGAGTTATATGAAAAGACCAGAGGTCATTTCTTCCATCTAGAAATCATCTCCATTTTTATTTGTAAGGCCATGCTAGATAGGTTTCACACCTATAGTTGAACAACCATAACACCAGATAACATTAGAGATTAGCTTTAAAAAGTTCCTCATATCAACTCTGATCTAAAGAAGCCTGGTTTCCTGTATCATGCACTGTACTGCAAAACAAACAAACTGTGTAGACACTCATTTCTCAGAGGGATTTAAAAGTTATACTGACATAATGAAATTGTATGTGTAAGTTCAAACAATTAGTTCATCAGAAGAAAATTAAAGGGCAACTATTTTGTTGATTTTCTGGTTATCCCAGTTTTGTGTAATTGCAAATTGAATACCATTAGGTGTTGGACTTTAGGTGTGATAAAACAAGACATTTGAAGACGCCACCTTGGACTTGGGGAAGCTGTGCCATTTTTTGACATCAGACACTAAACAATAAATTGCTTAATCAAGTTCCCCCTGTAGGGAAGTTTGACAAGTGATGCTCCAGAGGTTGACTTGATCAGTTAGACCTTTCCATGGCTAGATGACTTGTCAAACGATCATATAACCTCAAAAGAAGTCAAGCAAAGGTTGTGAAGTGGTTTTTGGTACCTGCCAACAGGCACACCCAGATGTGTTTATGCACTCGTTTGTCTGTCAGTTGAACCTACAGCTTGATGTTGTGAGCAAATTCTGTGCATTTTTGTCTCCTCTTATTAGGACATATTTTGGATTTTATCCACGGGGGGGGGGGGGATGTCTAAAGGGAAAATGTCGTCCAATGAAAAGTATTAACACGTGGATTAAAAAACCTTAAATGTATACGTGCAGTTAGTGATGTAGATATGCATTATGGTTGCAGTGACAACATTTTGCAGGTCAGGATTCAGTGTAAACTTTTATTGATTTAATACAAAAGGTAGATCATAAAAAAAAATTAACCCACAGCCAGTCTCAGAGGTATGACAGCTCTACACAGGCATCAACAAAGTTTCATTCTCACATCCTTCAGTGTGTCCTGGTGACAAAAACAACCAACTCAGGGGTATGGCAAGGTCAGCAAAACACAGATGGTTTCATTGGCTGGAGGTGGTTAAGGTTTAGCCCGCAGGCTTGTTCTTAAGAGTGCCTGCATCTCAAATCTGCCACACACAAAGGAGGAGGACTTAGGACATGATTAGCACCCCAAACATTACAGGTAAGAACATTTGAGTTTTGAAATAGAAATTTAAATTTTTAAGAAGATTGACTGTTTCTAGCTTGGCCAGTAAATTTAGTACAATTATAGAGGAAGTATAGAAATGTTTAAGCAAAATGTGTATATATGTATGCATGTCTGTCTATACAGATCCATCTAGATGGATATTGATGCCAATCACGGGGTTATTTGAAGCCTTGTATTTATTGTAAAAAAAAAAATGTATTTAACTATTTTTAACAACATTGTATATTAAGTATTAAGATTAAGAGATGAGAAAGTAACATGAACCAACTATTTACTGGCAGGGAACATCACACACTCAGCCTGCGCTTGGTTACTGGGCGCAGCTTAGTGCTTAATATACAGGATTTTCCACAGCATGTGGAAAGGAGAAATGATATTGACATGTGACTGTTAATCTTACCGCTGCTCACAAGACCCCACATGCCAACAACTTGACAGCATCGTCTTCCACAGATGTGAAAAGTGACTAAAATATATAACTGCTGCCTACTCAAACTGAGTAGGCAGCAGTTATGTGGTTGCAAGGGATGATCTCACTTTCAACCTGATTGTAAAAGAGCTCAGATTTCCTGATATTGTCAAATAATTTGCAGTAGTCTGTTGTTAAAGCAAACAGTAAGTAAGTAAGGAAAGTTGCTAGATATGCACTATAGACAATATTCACAGTCAAGCTCATGCTGTTTAAAAATTTTAAAATCAATTCATAAACTAGATTAGATCTCATTAAAATGACCTGATTACAAAGAACATGTTTGCAATCCTTAAAATTTAGCAAAAACTTTGACAGCCAATTAGACAACCAACATTGAAACGGCAACAAGAAAAAAACAACCCGTCCTTGTTTAGAGATTTTGATGCAAATGTTTATGGTGTGTGTGTGTGTGTGTGTGTACGAAGCATTTGTAGTATTTGTACCGGCCATTACGCATTTGCAAATAAAAATTTGTTCAAAAAAATCATCAATAGAGATAAAATATTTATAAAATACGTGATAATGCCAAGGGTTAGGTTGTCAAGTAATTTTTATGTATCAAGATGTTTTGGCTTCACTTTTCGTGTCGTCTACCCTTTTTATATACTGTCTATGACGAGAGATGATATCTGGAAAGCATCAAAGACCTTGACCTTGACTCAGTCAGAGCATGAGTAAAAGTGTACACACAACATACTGTCATCTGCATAATAATAATAATAATAATAATAATGAAAATGTAAATACATAGGATTTATGCTATTGTAAATAATAGTGGACTAAGAAATAATGGCGCTCATTTATTGATCTTTGGAGCAAGTTGGATTTACAGTAAACTCTAAACTGTTGTCATCTAAGCTTAGTTTTTATCATCTATGGTATGAAATACTATATTTGCGTAATCAATAGTGTTGTCATATTATTTCTTAGGAGGTGGTATCACATTGTATGTTACATAAACGGCAGCTGCAATACAGACACCCCGTCCCCAAGTGTAAAAAGGTATTTGCATTTAATGCATTTAGCTGACGCTTTTATCCAAAAGCGACTTACAATTGCTACATATGTCAGAGGTCACACGCCTCTGGAGGAACTAGGGGTTAAGTGTCTTGCTCAGGGACACATGGGTGGATGGGTCACAGGGGAGCTGAACCCGGGTCTCTCACACCAAAGCCGCTCATCTTATCCACTGCACCATCACCACCCCCATCGCCGAAAAGGTGCATCGTTGAGGACTATGATTCTAAGGGTTTTTATTATTAGTACTTGAAATTGCACAGCAGAAATATAGCCTTGTTCTGAGCGTTTATATACTTGAAGAGATTTGTCAATAGAGCAGTTTTTAAATCATAATGTGAATCACAAATCTTCGGCAGTTTGCAGCTCGTTAGGAAACAACCCTCCCATGACTCAAATTTATTTTCTCTGCAAGGAGACATTTCCTGTCCCCTTCAGCTACCTGAACAATATACCAATTAATATTTTATATATAATTTGTGTTCATGCTTTTCAACTTATATTTAGGTGAAGTTACAACTAAAAAAACATTTTTGTCCGAGTCTACATTTAACTGCAAACTAAGTTATTGCTCCGTTCATTATTGTTGTCATAAAGTAGAAAATTACAAATTTAATTTAATTTAGCCTCACAAATGTGAGGTTTACAGCTTTTGATAACCAGTTAGGTTTGTTTCCTGGTCAAAAGAAATAAACTTCCTGACTAAAAGAAAATGACATCAGATAAACCACTCGGATAATGCCGCTCTGTTCACAAGACTGTCCACAAAATTGTTTTCTCTTACCTTTTTAAGGTAAAATCCTTCATGTCTGTGTCCACCATCAAAGAAGATTGAAAGAAAAGACATACACACAAAAATAGCTCAATTTAATATTGTGAGTGGCCTCAGCAGTTACAGAGATCAAATGATAAAAGGTGCTTGTTGGAACTGCCTATAAAGGCTGTTAGCACGCGACACTGACTGATCTGTAGACCTTCAAGCTACCCACGATTTCCCCTGTGCCAACGACCTGATGCCAGTGTCACGCAAGCTGGTGCAAAATGACTAAAATATCACAGCCGCTTACTCAAACAGAGGAACATTGCTGCTCTCTCTCACTTTCAGCCTGATTGTGAAGGAGTTAGTATTTCCTGATATCGTGACATGAAGTACAGTATTCTGCTCAAAAATCAACCCAGGCCGGGGTCTTTGAGAACACTATTTTTGAACAAAAGCTAGTCCTCACGCAACTTGGTCTCTCTGGAATTTTACAGAAGCCCAGAATGACTCATACTTTTCATTGCAGAAAAGCTACAGAAGGTTTTTATTGTGCAGTCTAGGCTGCTCTTAGGCCCAAACTACTACTTTCAATAACTAAAAAGTAACAAATAAGTTTAAGTCTTCAGTTGTACATTTCTGTCTCTTTGGAGTATGTAGACTGGTGATTCCTTTTGTAAATGTACTAGAAAGTTAAAGTAATGACTAAATGACAGCTGCTACTCACATCTTAAAGTTTTCTGAAGTGGCAGTTCAGAAATGACATGATTGGAGAATAATTATATTGTGACTGAAACATTTCCTCAGCTGTAAAAACATTTTTTATTTTTTTTTACATCGTTCACACATCCTCCCAGATTCGAAATGCAAAAAAGATGCTAATCCATCCGTCTGTAGCAGTGTGTGTGCGTCTGTAAACAAGACTAATGCTCCTGAGGCTGTACTTTGAGCTAAATGCTAACATGTTCACAATGACAATGGTAACTTAATGATATTTAGCACCAAACACAGTTATAAGAACATCATTCGTTTTGCAAATATTTGGTCATTAACCAAAGTCTTGACCTGAATGTGGCGCGAAAAGGTGTTACTATTCATCCTGTTAATCCTTTGATCACCAACGCTAAGATTCGTCTGAGGAGAGGAGGAGTCAAAAAGTTTCAAACATTGTTCTATAATTGTAAAATGTTCATACAGTTTTAACAGCTGCCTTGTAAAGAGAACGCTCACTCATTTTCACTTCCGCCACTCTTCTTTTAATGTCTGTACATCTTTAAAAGTAACAGCAAATTTCATGACATTGCGGAGAAGTTGCGGAGATGGGTATAGATTTTAGTCATGGGAGAGTTTTATAAATGTCACCCTTCCTATTGCAAGATAAATTGCTTACTGTTCTTGTTTTTGTCCCCACCAGCAATGGACCCCATCAGCCAGGACTATGATGATGGCTATTACTACTTCAATGACTCGTACATGAATATGAGTAACACCACATACGATTACGAACAGTCTGGCTGGTGTGATGCAGGTGAACAGGAGCTCACTATCAAAATTTTCCAGACTTGTGTGTTCTGCCTGATCTTCCTGCTGGGCGTGGTGGGAAACTGCTTGGTGATTGCCACCTTTGTTCTCTACCGCTGCCTCCGGCTTCGCTCCATGACCGACGTCTTTCTGTTCCACCTGGCGCTGGCTGACCTTCTCCTGCTCCTCACGCTCCCATTACAAGCCGTCGACACTCACCTGGGTTGGATCCTCACCGTTCCCCTCTGCAAGGCCACGCGTGCATGCTACGCCATCAACACTTACAGTGGGCTTATGCTGCTGGCCTGCATCAGCATTGACCGCTACATGGTGGTGGCACGAGCCCAGCAGATGCTCAGGCTACGCGATCAGATATTAACAGGCGGGAAAGTAGCTGCTGTAGGGGTGTGGGTTGTTGCGGTGCTCCTAAGCCTGCCTGAAATCCTCTTCTCCGGGGTGAGTGAGGGATACTGCGGCATGCTTAACAGCGGAAGTGTCAAAATGGCTACCAATGGAGCAATCATTGCTGTCTTCTGCCTGTCCCTCTTCATTATGGTGACATGCTACTCTTGCATTGCTCACGTGTTGTGGGGAGGGCACACAAATCGGCGGGGGAAGCAGTGGCATCGTCAGCGTACGTTGAAGCTGATGGTGGCTCTGGTGCTGGTTTTTCTGGTATTCCAGCTGCCGTACACCGTGGTGCTGTCATGGAAAATGGCTGGGCAGTTCTGCGGTCTCCTGTTGGAGTACATCACCTGCACTTTGGCGTACACCCGCTGCTGCCTCAACCCTATCTTGTACGCCCTGGTAGGCGTGCGCTTCCGCAACGACGTACTGAGGCTCCTCCATGATTCAAGCTGCTCTCATGGGCTCAAGCTGGTGCCACAGAGAGCGAGCTTCATCTCCAACTCTTCAGCTTACTCTCCAACATACTCCAGCAATGACGCAGTGCCTGCCACCAAATTTCAGTTTTCAGGAACCAAATAATATTTTGTGGAATGCACTATAAATTGCTGTCCGCTTTGCGTTGTTTGTATCCATGTATCCCTACAGTAAATGGTGTGTATAGTTAGCAGTGGACTGAAAAATAACAATGAGTTGCAAAGATATGCATATAATCATTGGGGCTGTCGGTCAGTTGAATTGTTTCAGTACCAGTGTAAATACTACATCCGCTATATTTTAAACTAATTTTTATGTGATGTTTCTTTATTATTCACTTGTAACCCATTTGTCCCGAGCTTAGTTGCAGTCATGAGTTTTAAATACACATTGCTGTTGCCACATTTCATGTGTTACGCAAGAAGTCTTAAGGTTTGATACCCAGCTCTAGTCATAATTTGTCACGTTGGCATTACGGCCAAAAACGGTCACAAAGACAGTATTTGGTCACACTTTGTTTGTCAATTCCAGATTTGTTATTTCAGCTGTCAAGTGACAAAAAGGCAGATGGTCAGTCACGTACTTTCGTAACGCTCACCACAACCTTATTTGCACCCATAAAAACAGCAGCACCTTATTTTTATTTCAAGGAACTGGAATCCTATTAAATGCTTTCATGATGTTGAGGGGAATTTTTTGCTGTCAAATTCAAACCTTTTGATTGCAGGTTGTGTTTCAGATTTGGCTTTTTCAGGAAAGTGTGTCTCTGAGGAGTGTTCTCAGTCTCTGTATATACTGTATATATTTTTGGATATTATTTTTGTTTGGCCAGGGTTTGAATCTATTGTCTGTAAAGTCAGTGTATAAGAGAGTGGCCTATGAATATTTGCTATATTGTTGTAATTTCTCTGAACTGGATTTAAATCTTAACCTCAACCCAAACCTGACTTTATTTTTAACCAAACCCTGACACGGAAACAAAAACTAGACTTTTTTTCCCCCCACACTTTTGTATCACTTGGTACTAAATAGACCGTGGCCAGAGATCATTATTACAAGTTTCTTATAATTATTTTCTTCAAAACAATACAAGGTGCTTCTACCACCCTTGACATATTTCTAAGATAAGATTTATCTTAAATGCCAGAGATGTAGAAACGGTTATACGTGCCTTTATCTCCTCTTGCCTGCATTATTGCAACAGCCTGGTCTCATGTCGAAATCAAAAAACTGAACCGTTTACAGATTGTGCAGATCTTAGCTGCCGGTTTATTAGTCCAAACTAGGAAGTAGGCCCACATCACACTGAGTTTAGAGATCTTATTGATTACTGTTAAAGCTGTTTTTGGCCTTTTAAAAAGAAGTTTTTCCTTGCCTCCGTCTCCTAGTGCTGCTCTTGGTGGGAACTGTTGGGCTTCTGTAAATAGCATCATAGAGTACGGTCTAGACCTGCTCTTTTATGAAAAGCGCTGTGAGATAACTGTTGTTGTGATTTGGCGCTATATAAATAAAATTTGAATTGAATTTTCATCAGGTCCTGAAGCTCTGGAATGACCTGCATGAGGAAATCAGGTTGTCGAAGTCGGTGTCTTCTTTTAAATCCCTCCTGAAAATGAATTTCTTGCAGGAAAGCGTTATCTGAGTTTATCTGAGCTGCTATCCTGTTTGTCTGAATTTCCTGCTTAACCCTTTATCTGTACATTATGTCATATTTTGTTTCTCATTGACTTTTATTGATATCTTGTCTTTTAAGTCCCTGTGAAGTAGTAGTTTTTAATAAGTGCTCTACAAAAGTTTATTGTTATTATTGTCTCTATTCATTTGTTTGGTAAGATTAAACTTTGATGCATTTAATAACTTAAAGACTCAAGTGCATTTCAAACGCACGCACACACACACAGACACACTAACCTTGCTATCATCAAAGTTTACGTAGGTAACATGCACATAAACAGTAAACCAATAATAATGCTAAGTTAAGCACAATATAGAGAAGTGGGAAAAGAAAAGCTACTTTTATTTTCTCATTTCTCTGTGCTGGAACCATGTCTGTCTACCGGAAGTTGTTTTGAGGCTTGAAAGTGTGAGTTTCACATCGGTATGTGTCAACAAAAGGTGTTTATACTGAAAATGCAGTGAAAGGACTTGTGCTTTTAGCACTGAAACCCATCTATAAAACACCTCTGGTTAGTTTTACCTTTATGATCATAAAATATCAAAATAATTTAAAGGATTTTGTCCACCCTGATCTTACAGGGTCCATCACATCTCCACAGTTCAGCTCTAGTTTAAAATAAATGAAAACCCCCAAAGAGACTGAGGTATGAAATGAGCAGTTGTGGCAGTAAAAAAATAAATAAATAAATAAATAATAAATAAAAAGTGCTCCTGCTGTAATGTGATGTTGTGAACACTAGATGTCAGCCTGATGCAGAGACACCGTGGACTAGTCTATAAATTTGACAAACAGTAATCCAGTATGGTTTCACTGCAAAGTGTAATCTTTATTACCAGATACCTTTTTAATTAATTACATTTAAGACCTAGAGACAACAGAGTACAAAGAGTGCACGCATGTTGTACGGACACACGCTCACTTCCACACAGTGCTATCATGAATAAATACCATCACTGATTTGTTCAGTGATTCAAATGAATTAAGTGGAAACTGGGTTATCAGGCCAAGTACGCTCTCTAGATAGGGCTGCGACTAAAGTTTATTTTCTTTATCCATTAATCTGCAAGTTATTTTTTCGACTAAATGGTAAAGGAGTCTGTCTAATTACAAATGGCTTATCACAGTTTCCAATGTGAGGTCTTCAAGTCTCTTGTTTTTGTTGGGCAAACACTCCAAAGCACAAATATATTCAGTTCAGTATCACATAAGAGGAAAAAGAAAAGCAGCAAAGATTCACAATTAAGAAGCTAGAACATTTATAATAAATAAAATTGTTAATCGCTTATCAAAAAAGTTGGTTTTCTGTTGATTGAGTAACTGGCTAATAACTTCAGCCTTTCTTCCAGCATTTACTTTTTGCAAATCGAGGTATGTGAACCAACTAACTGACTGCGTGACACAATATAAAGACCTCTGGTTAAAGTCTTCCTGACAGAATCGACATAATTGATGTGGTGTGATGGCGATAAGTGTGCAGATGTTTTTTGTTTGTTTTTTTGCATCCAACACCTTCCTGTCTTATGGTAGTTTGCTAACTTGAAACCAGTTTCAAATTGTACACACCTCCAGTAAAAAACCCAGAATAAGGAATGATGTTCACTTCCTGTTAGAAACCTCACATCAAAGATCACCTCATCGCATTTATTCAAATTGGAACTCGCAGCAAAACCCCGTGAACAAAGTTCCTCCACGCTTCATTGTGGCCCGTGGCCTGACGTGCAGGTATCAGTGTGACTCATTATTTATTAACAGCAGCTTCCACCTTCCAGTAACACTCCAGCCACTCTGTAACCAACAACTTGCTGACCTCTCTGAGAAAAAAAGTTGCGTCATCGCTGCTACACAACTTATGATTCTGATTAAGCGAGTGATCCTCTTTAGCAGCCACGTTACAGCTGTGGTTTGTTAGGACGCAGGGTGGTAATGAGAGTTTCTGATGATGCAACATGTTGTTATAAATGAGGCTTTGATCACAGAGGGATTTCTGAGCTCTGGACCTACTGTAGCTTTCATTTACAGCAACTTCATGATGTATTTGAATGAAAACTCATGTCCTGCACTTTGTGTAAGGACTGTTAATAAATAACAGTGATAATGATAAATTCAAATTGAAGAATTGCCCTATACGCAACCCAGGGACACCACGTTTATTGACCTATATAAGAATAACTTCACATTATCGTATAAAATCATTAGGCCCAAACAATACTTCATACATAATACAAAACACGCCTTTTTCCCAGCAGACATTTTGACTTATCTTAGCAAAAGCACAGGTTTAAAACAATAACATTGATTGATTGAATTCAGACATCTCTGACAATGTCACAAAAAACTTAAGATTTTATGAAACAAACAAAACAATCCTACATTTATGAAAAGCTTTGCAAACAGAGAAGGTTTGAATTGTGGCTCTGCAAAGATACATGGTAAAGTCTGTGGAGATCTCCACAGCGAGGAATGTCGTGGGTAACTGTGGGTTGCTAAAGGAACTGATGCCACCTTACTTTGTGTCAAGGAAGCTGATCAGCCAATCCGACTTCCTGTCAGGAGGCAGCGTCCAAGTCAAAGAGCAAAACAATATAATCAATAGCTTTGCAAGTATAAAAGAAACTATGGGAATGTCTCAGCGTGTTGCCTTCTGCAACTCAACTAAATAATAAGAATATAAAGTCATGTTAAAACAACAAGGCAGCAGACAAACTAGTTTAATGATAATAAACAGATGTTACTCAAACAGGAGGAAATAGTGCATTTGATTGGGAACTATTTCAGTTTTAATACCCATTTAGTGCTCAGAAGATGGCTTTGGATCGTTGGTGTTAGTGATTTTATAGGATTTGTTGAGAATAAGAAAAATATAGAAACATATTTAACCTTTTTTAATTCCTGGTTTAGCATATGAACATATTGCTCAGTTTGTGTCAGAAAGTTGTCAGCTATAGATTTCTGTAGCTGGCTGAAGGAATATGTGCCTTCTCGTACATGGAGGCATTAGGACCCAGAGAGCTCAGATCTCTGTGCTCTGCGCTGTTAGAGCTGATTCCTCTGCTGCCTTCTGTCTCTTTTCGGATAGACAGAGCGGCTGCCTGCTGGATCTCTGCCTTTCCCTCTTTTCCTCGCTTTCCTCTAGAAATGGAGATCAAAGGCCCAGAGACTCCCAGAATCCAACAGCAGATGGAGGGCTTCCATAGACTACCTGCAAGCCCAACTAAGTCTCATTACCTGGGAGCACTGCAGCTTTTGGAGTAGTTTCCTCCAGAGTTTTCGCCTCACCTGTCCAGAGGGAAACACAGAAGTGAAACCTTTCTTTTGTTATTCTTCTTGTTTTAATTTTTTCTTCTTACTGCAGCCTCCTCCTGTGTGCAGAGCTACAGGCTCCGAACTCTTTCCTCCTCCCCTTTTCTCTTTCACTCGCTCAGCTGTCACTCTGCCTTGCACTCTCAAGATATCCCCTTCCCTCTTTCTAGGGTTTCATAGTGCATCAGGATCTTATTGAGAGGCAGGGGTGGATTTAATCCCGCTGCTTTTCGCTGTGTTTGAGAATATGGACGTGTTATGAGTGCTACTTCAGCATGAACAGACTGGGGTCATGGAAATAACAAAAGGTCACAGGCCAGTGCCTCACAGAGCCTCTCACTTAGCTTTGAATAACTAGATACAGAATACTTTTTCAATTCCTGACCTTTTTAGCACTGTTTTTAGCTGAGGCAGATTTCCCGGAGCAGTTTTTTTTTTTTTTTTTTTTTGCATGTGTATTTCTTGGATCTATCAGATATCCAATCATGGGGAATGCAGCAGGAAGCATGGAGGTACCCCAGGGGAAGGAGAGCAGGACGGTGTCTGCCCCTCCAGGCTCCACAGGCTCCCAGAAACGAACTGTGGGGCTAAAACTCCCGATGCCACCTGAAGAAGAGCTGGAGCAACGCTTCAGTGCAGTGCTGGTGAGTTGCAGCAGGTCAGGCCACATGTCAGCTTTTACACAGAAGCAAAATGCACAAGGCAAAGAATTTGGAATATGTTGGAAATGTGCACGTCCTCAGGACAAGCTTATCACAGTACCAGGTACACAATGCCACTGTAGAAAGATACATAAGAGGTCCTTTATACTGGAGCTTACTGCAGCATTAGGCTCACTGCATGGTCTGCTGGAGGATGAATGATGATGGAAGGGAGGCGGGGGGAGGGGGGGGGCAGATCTGTTTACAAGTTAATAAAAGGTGCAACTAAACTTTACATTTTCACAGCTTCAAATGTAACTTAGAGCATCCTGTATATAAATAATCACTCTTTTTTTTAAGAGTTGGATTACCTTTTAGAGAATATTATGTTACAAAGATTCACGCTCTATATGGCCAAAAGTATGTGGACACCCCTGATGACATACTTTTTGGTCCCAAACTAGAGAAATCCCTAATGCCGCAGCATACAGTGATATTTGAGACAATAGTGTGCTTCCAACTTGTGTGTCAACAGTTTGAGTTTGTCTCTTTCCTACTAACAACATGAAAAAACCTCCGTGCTCAAAGGCAGATCCATAAGGAAATGTTTTTCCAGTTTTGTGTGGAAGAAATTCACTAGTCTGCACAGATCCCTGACCTGAACCTCATCCAGCACTTTCGAGATAGACCTTAACACCAACTGTGAGCCAGACCTGATCACCCAACGACAGGTCCTCCAAATTTAGTTAAACTAGAAAATAAAGAAACGAGTCTTTTCTGACGCCACTGTTGGCAGGACAACATGGTTTGTCATTGCCTTCGATTACTGTTACATATCCTTTGCGACTATTTTAGTGTCGATACACGTTAAAGGCACTAAATGCTCTGTATATTGACACAAGTGCAGTAGAGTAGTGTGCTGAAAGGGGCTCTGTGGAGTTTTACTGTAAACAAAAGTTATGTTTACAGTCATTGTTACTCACCAAGGCACATTGTGGGTGAATCCTTAAGATCTAACAAACACATTCAATGCATTTCGTTCCTCATAAAACAATTACAAGTCTGATTGTTTTCAAAAGTTTGAACCCTGCGTTGTTTGCATTCAAATTCACTAGCAAGAAGTCTTTTCTTCACTGCTTTAGCTGCATTTCTTGCCGCGTTACTGCCACCTGTAGATCAGTGGAGTAGCGTGAAACCATTAGCAGGAAACAACCACCCACTCATAGAAAGTCCTACGTATATGCATCTGATCTTTTACTTCTGCTGCTTTGATAGTTTATTATGTCCAATCTCAGTAATGCTCTTGTGTCTGAAAGAACAGTGGAGGCTGTTATAGCAGCAGATTCATGCTCAGTGTTTTGGTATATGACTTCCAATCACATATGGGTGTACTTTCCAGTTGTCCACATACTTTTGACCATGTCATGTAACTGGAGATAGTATTTTCTTTAGCTGAGTGGCCTAAGTGAACTATGGTTGTACTTGTGTTGTTTTTTTTTTTTGTAAATTACACTTTTGCTGTGAAAACGGCTTCAGATTTCTGTAATATAAAATATATTAACCAATATATATAACCAAACCAAAAAAAAAATATTATGGTCTTCCCCACAACTCGGACTCAAAGCCACAGTGACAAAATCATCAACAACCAGCGTTCCTCCACCATAACTCGATTGTCTCTCCATTACTTCCTTCACTGAGATGTTACAACATGGTCAGTGACAAACTGAGCTCATGCCTATGTGGTGACAAAACAAGGCAGAGACAAATGGAAAAACGCAGCTATGTACAACATGTAGCCGGGCGACTTGCTGTATGATTTACTGCATTCCTTCTGTCGTTCTTCTCTGAGCATTATTGTCACAGTGTCTGAGCTGCACGATGAAATGTGACGACATGTTAGGCTGATCTGTGATGCCATGAAACATGAACTAACAAACAGACCTGAGGCTTATTGTCAGTGAGCATACTTATAGAAAAACAGCCTCCCTCTTACCCTCTTGAAGGTGAATGGTAATCAATTAAAGCCCTGATAGATGCTGCTCCCTTCCATGAGGAAGTTCAATCAATGAGCATAAATCACTTCCTGTTAGGACAGAACCAAACCTCTAATTATCTCTGCTGACGAGCTAATGTTTGTTTCCCTGTCAAAAAGATATCTCCGAAACTTGACAGCTGATTTCTTTGATATTTAGAGGACAACTCAGTAAATCTGCAGAATCAGATGTACTGGTTTTAATTAAACTTGATTCTTAAGATTATGTTCAAATCAATTCAACTTAAAAATGTAGGCGATGGGAATTGAATCGCAGTTTAACAGCATGTTGGAGAAGGGACTGTAGAAATGTTTCACACTGACTTACATACTTTTTTATCTCCCTACATCTTATCTTTCATGTGCGAAACATTCACTTGTTGGGAAGAAGGGAAAACAAAAATTCCCCTTAAAAAATAGACAGTAAGGTAAGGCCACACTTTCAGGTATGAAATTGGTTGGAAAAATGCTTTTATTTTATTGAAATTGTCTTTAATTTCATGCAAAAACTGTTTTGAATAGTCCGAGAAATCTGAGAAATGCTCTTGTGTGTAACTGTAAAACGTATCCTTCATATCAGGTCATTAAAAGCCACAAAGTCGCCGCAGCTGTATCAAAGACGTGACCGAGATGTTCATGTTCTCAGTTTACAGTGTTAAAATGATGCACAATTAGGAACTGAACATACTGATCCGCATCTCACTGTTTTATTCAGCACTTCTCTCCAGACGATCATTCTGGTAAACAAACAAGTCATTGTAGCAAAGAGACAGAGCAGTCTACCCACCTGTTGGTATGGCAGACAGTACTCCGTCACACGGCTCACTGTTTGGTTGCATGTTTAGACCTGTGTGCGAATCCAAGTGGGGTGACACCTCTTTCCATTCGCTACATGATTGTACTCAGTCACAGTCATGTTAACAGCCATTGTTACTCAAAACACGTGTTGCTGAATAAATTTTGTTCCTCACAAAACATGCTTTTTTTTTTTTTTAGAAGTAATTTACATCTAGCATCTATGTTTACTTGCTTGTAGTCTTCTTCCTCCCTGACTTTGTTGGTGTATTGCTGCATATATTGTTACAGCCACCTGTAGATTAGTGGAATAGTGTGCAAGCATTGGTAGGAATGTGTGTCGGATCACTCATGCACAAGACAAACGATACAGGCGCCCATTCGTAGAAAAACGTCTGCTTTACAGTAGACCTTCAGCGCTACCTTGGAAAAGTGACACATCATGCGCAGTTTAGAGATTTGTTGAGTCATTTGATTAATCCTTTATTTGCATGGGTTTGTCATCCAGAGCTGAATAACACTTTGTGGCCAAAAGTATGTGGACACCCATAGGTGGTAGTTGAAGATCTCATTCAAAAACCATGGGCGGTCATCTGCTGCTATAACAGACACAAGAACATGTGCGAGGTCCAACACTTATGTTGGGTGATCAGGACTGGCTCACAGTCAGCGATCCAGTTCATCCCGAAGGTGTAGCATGTGTTGAGGGTCAGGGCTCTGTTAAGGCCAGTCACGCTCTTCCACTCCAACCTGAGAAAACCAGCTGGAAGAACATTGTGTGAAATTTAATTGTGTTAAGATTTCCCGTCATTAGAACTACGGGAACCATGAAAAGCAGCCACAGACCAAATGTCTAATTCTAGTTTGAAACACAGCCTGTCTGTTCACATTATACGTGAAACTGTGTCATTAGTCAAAGAGGCCACATTGAATAAGTCATAAACAATTTTGCATTTGTTACATCTCGTCTCATAACTTGAACTGTTTTGCATGAAGGGTTTACTCACAGAGTAGTGATAGACAGATTAATTGGACACAGGGGCCGATACCTGCACCCACGGGGAAGGTTGATGTAAAAAAATAAAATGTCTGCGGACACATCTGCAGGCAGCCTTGTCAACATGGCTGCTGTGGAACCATGTTGGCGCTCCCCCTTCTGAGTTTTAGGAAGGTGATGAAAAAGTTCCTCCCATTCTGAATGACACCAAATCTAATCTAAAACCATCATGTGTTCAATATATACTGTTATAATGCAGAGAATGAGACAGTGGAATCACCATACCCAAGTTCTAAAATCTACAGCATAATATTTTTTCTATTTCATTAATTAATAGAATTTTCATCTATAAAAACAGGTTAGTGGCTAAGATAACATGTAAATCAGATTGTACTCTGCATGGAATAATGGAATATTGAAAAACCCGTATCGGTCGACCAATACACAATATCTATATTGTACACAGAGTAGATTCAATCTGTATTGCAGTGGAAGGATTCATGTCTGTAGGATGTAGTCAGGTCGTGGGATGACCACTGCAATGACTTAACGTCTTGCGCCAACTGCTGCAGGCTTTTCCTCCTGAGCGTGTGTGTAGGTGCAGTAGTGTGTGTTTGTATGAATGTGCAGCCACATGCAGCCTTTCATGTGCAAACTCTGCTGCAGCTGAAATAGATTCTCCTCCCCACCCTGCGCTGAACGCATTCTGTTGGTGCTAACAGCAAGCTTTTTGCTTCATCACCATTATATCCCACCAAATATAGATCATTTCTCCCACCAACACTCCTCATCCAGTCGCCTCCTTTCTTCTGCTGAGTTTGCATAGCAAATGTCCTGTGCTAAGTGGAGAAGATACTCCGTCTGCATACAAACCAGCCGGCTGCAGGGATGCTGCAAACTGTCACTGCTCTGATTCTGCAGAGGCTCAAAGGGACAAGAGGGAGAGAAAGTGTCAGACGTCCCTCACAGGTGTGGATAATGGCAGAGAGCCACATTTACACATTTGCATGTGATATAAGGATATAGGTCAGGGGGTTTCTTTGTGAGCATATTACAGTGCCGTCTGCAGTGTTTTCAGACTGACAGAATCCATATCAAAGCAACAGAAATCTACACAGTGACTCTGATAATGACAGTGTTCAAAGGTTTCAGTCACATCTAGGTTTTACGTGTAGC